TTGCACACTTCAGAAAGCTTCAACCAATGTCTGGGAAGATTACCAGTTCCTGATTGACTGAAGTCGTCCCTCCTACTGCTCCATATGACTTTCAAGTTTCTGATTTATCCACCGCGGACTAGGCCTGGGCGATAGGGTGATTTAGACGGATGTTGTCGATGATGGACAAGTAACCCCGATGGTGATGTGTAAAAGACGATAATCGCTGTTTTGATAAAAGACCTGGGAGAGAATTAGAGAGGACTAACTTGCAGGTGTGTGCAGGCGCGAGCACCCGTAGTGAGTTTCACAGAGAGCGAGAGGTTTCTTAAGAAACTGCCTGTGTTATTTTTCTCTGCTGTGCACTGTAATGTTGAAGGCTGAAGTGCCTGGGAACTTCAGCTTGCCTCAAAGTGCCTCTCTGCAGTAAAAAAACAAACAAAAAACCCTAAAATGAATGTATGAATGAATGTCTCTGAAAAGGGTAAGAAATAATATTAAATAAAATGTGCACATAATGTTTCATTCAATTTTACTCTTAAATCATTAAGTAATAATGGGACCTTTAAAATCTCGGGTAGAGTAAACTGCCCACTGTGTCTGCTTTGTGATTTACTGAGTGAAATGTGCAGTGTGGTATGTACAGATTAAGTGTGTTAGTGGTTATCTGAATTATGAAAACACCACTGTAACTACAGAAAACACTTTGTTTTTAATGTGGTAAGCATGAGGGCGTGGTTGTGGAACTTTCGGTCTGAACTTTCAGCAGGAATATTATTGATAATTGCGTATTTTAACTGAAATATATTGTGGTAATTAGTTTTAGATATCGCCCAAGCCTACTGTGGACTGTGTGCTACATCAGTATTTTCAAATAAAATATGTATATGGCACTCAGCTTTTACGCTACGTTAGGCTGTTTTGGTCATGATGGATGGACCTTTGACAGCTAGAGCTCGGATATAAGCTCAGAAATACGGTCATTGGTTAAATGCGTTTGCAGTACCTAGGAAAGATGTGCTGTATGTTTTTGACGCCGATCCTGAGATCCACACAAAGCTGAGTAAAAAGAGAGAGATGTAGTGGTAGAATTGGCTCGGTCTAAAATGACCCACTTGTTATATGCAATTAGTGTTGCACCTTTCCCTTTAATAAGGTCAAGCTTGTTCTGTTTCATAAAAACCGATAATGAAATCCAAAATAATACATGGTGAGATGTGGACAAAATGGTCAGAACTAATTTCAGAAATAAAAAGTTATTATTCTACCATGTGCTTGTATAGCACCCAGGTTTTTCATACTTTGTAGGGCCTTTTGGTACTGACATGCAAATTATAAATGGGGCCCACTGAACATATTTCCTGTTTTTTCTTTTTTCTCCTTTTCAGTGAGATTTGTAGTTTTGTAGTAGATGTAGTTTATTGCATGAGGTCTGGTTTGTCATTGAGGCGGGGCTTTGCTCACCACAGCAAGGATTGGTGAAGGCATGCAGAGCAAAGCACGGATGCAGGACATGACAGCAGCATGTCTCATTTGACAGCACACAGGTGTGTGTGTGTGTGTGTGTGTGTGTGTGTGTGTGTGTACATGTCGAAGAGAGAGATGCAGCCTTCTGGGATGACTCTCTCTATCTTGGTTATAGAAATGTCTTTACATTAAAGGAGTATTGTTTTGTAGTTAACCGTTCCGTGCTTTTCTCACAAAAGCTTTTTTGTGCACTATTTATGCCATAAAGGGTTCTTTGAGTGACAGTAAAAGGGTTTTTCACCTTCTCATCTCTTTTACAAAAATGCTCCTCTAGAACAGAATCACTGTTCACATGTTATCGATCATAATCGGATTTCTGCAGTTATCTGATTATTCAAAGGGTCATGTAAACAGCATTCTCCGATTTCTTAGATCAGAGTAAGGTCTAGAAATCTGCTAAAGAAATCCAATAAAGATTTTAGCTCAGCAGTCAGTTAGATTTCTCAGTTCATGTAAACTCGGATTTCTTTCGTATTTCTCAGTCTGTGGGCGAAACAGACAACGATAGCGGAAATAAGTAGGCAGCGTTGCCGCGAGGCGCAGCAAAACACTTTTGGAGCGACGCTAATAGTTCATATTTTCAGGTAAAGCGGCGCAGTGTTTTTTTTTTGTTTTTTTTTTTTAAAGCTACGGCATGAAGTTTGAGTTTTATATTACGTTTACGCCACGTCTTCTTCTGTTTATTGGCGGGTTGCAGAAATCCGATTACTGTCTTACTCGTGTAGACCCAGAGTTTCTCATTATCTGATTACTCGGGTGCATGTAAACGCATTGATTGGATTACTGACAAAATCTGATTTTCTGCAGTTATCGGATTATTAAGCGCATGTAAACGCACCTATTGAAATGTTCTTTGGGTAAGCGAAGATGGCTCTTCTGAGGTATTGTGTAAAGAACCCTTTGGCACATTTATTTGTTAGAGTGTATCAGTTATTGCTAGGTTAAACAGGCTATGCAGAACATGAGCAAAATCCCATTCAACCTCATGCAGAATTATATCTTACATGTATTTTGTCAGAATAAATAAAATGCTGTATTTTTGTGGGTAACCAAGCTAACATCAGCATGGTGGCCAGTTTGATGCTGTTTCTCATGCTAACCATACACTAGAAGACTTTGAAAAGACTTTTGGAAGACTAAAGTCTGACACCTTCTCACATCTAAAGACAGTGTCGCGTTTTTTAGTCAGAGACTATGATTTTGCAAGGACTAGGAATCTTGCAGTGTCGCTATTTACAAGACTGCAACTACATTTTTGAGATTATTCCCCGTTATGCAACTGGTGGAAATTTACAAGCAGATAAACACTTTTCCTTCCACTCTATAGTGGTACAGATGGGAGGATTAGTTCACTATAGAACTGTATACTCTGGCAGATCATCACCCAGAATTGTATTAATTAATCTGAAAAATGTGCAGTTAATTTTTGTAATTTTATATAAAGATTTACACATCAACACAACGTGCAGCGAATCAGCACTGTCGCCTGGGTGTCCTGAACTAAACCATAAGAAACAAACAAAATAAGAAACCAGTGTAACAGAAAACAGAAAAAAATTAGAAAAAAATTGATGATTCTTCAGTAATGGCATTCTTAAAGTCCTCTGCACATTTCCTTACGTGTTACAGGCTCAGCGAACCTGAAATATTAAAACAGTTTACAGTTTAAGTTATTATGATTATTGTATTGAATTGCCGTTACAGAGATTTCAGTCAGTGACGCCTGCATTTTCTCTCTCTCTCTCTCTCTCTCTCTCTCTCTCTCTCTCTCTCTCTCTCTCTCTCTCTCTCTCTCTCTCTCTCTCTCTCTCTCTCTCTCTCTCTCTCTCTCTCTCTCTCTCTCTCTCTCTCTCTCTCTCTAGAGCCCTTCTATCGTGTAAGGCCGGCATAACCTGCCTTGAGACTTTTTTAAGACATAAGATTTTTATGATGGTTCAAGATTTGCAGAATGTGTTCAGATGTTTGTGAAGGTTTTCAGAGAGAGAGAGTAGGAGAGGGTTTCTTTAATAGAGTGACCTCTTCTCTTTAAGAAAAAAAGATGAGCAGGTGCAGTAGACTATAAATCTTACATCCTCCTTCTGAAGGTGCCCTTATTTCTCCCACTCTGTTATGCTCAAGGGAGGGTTGCTGGGTTTCATGCAAATAATAGAGCGAGTTTGTCTACACAGTACGCCTTAAGATGCCTTGTTTAAAGATTATTCTTGAACTCTTGTCTAACCGATTTGTGCCTGGCCCACACTGCAGGATTTATGAAAATTATGTGAGTCCCTAAACATGACAGATTTCCTAGATTTTGTGTCATTGGTTGTCCTTCAGTCACCCACCCCCATGTTTAGAGGGGAAAAAAAACACTTTCAGATTATTCTCACAAATCAGTGGTCCTGACATTCAGAAAATGAGATCTTGCAAACAAACGTGACTTAAGATCAGAGCACATGGTGGATGACAGCAAGACATAGATTACTGTGCTAGTTGTTATCATAATACTGATAAGAAGAAGATAAAATTAGTATTTGTATAGCAGCCATCAAAGTGTTTCACAAGACATTAGAAAGTAAAGAGAGCTAATTAATGCACACACAAAGGTTTTGGTCAGAATATGATAAAATAACAGAGCAAGAACCAACAATAAAGTCAAATGTGTCATATGTGAAAGAAAACGATTATTATTGTGTCAGTAAAGATAAAATGCATTTTATTCTTCCATTCTGCTCAGTCCTTCAAACATGATGTTGCATTTCATATGAGACAGTTGTCATTTCCTCCACACTACGGGGCGCTGAGTCATAAATTTTGAACATGTTTAATATTCAAAACTGGCCACAACTGGACTGCGAGTAGATGCACAGGCCGTTACATACCTAAATTAAACATGGTTAACCAAGTTAATTAAAAATTCCATGTTTGAGTGTGATGGCCTAATCTTTTTAACTTTCTGTTACAGTGGTTTCTTATTTTGTTTTTGTTTTTATGGTTTAGGTTACAACACCCAATCAAGAATGCTCAATCACTGCATGGTTTGTTGATATGTAAAAATTTGTTACGTATAAAAGTAACCGCACATTTTACCAGTTAATTAAAAAAATCTTGGTGATGATCTGCCAGATTATACAGTTCTACAGAGAACCAAGAAAAGGAAAAAGGTTTCTCTGCTTGTAAATTTCCACCAGGTGCGTGATGGGAAATAATCTCAAAATCTAGTTGCGGTCTTGCATATAGTGACTCTGTAAGATCCCCAGTCTTTGCAAAATCATAGTCTGTGACTAAAAACTATGTGATGTTCTCTTTAGATCTGAGACTTTAGTCTTTCAAAAGTCTTTTCAAAGTTGTCTAGCATAAGACCAGCCTGAAATTGGGCCGTCTTTTGTGATTGTTGGGAAGGACGAATTGACTTATTTTGGGCTAGGCAAAAGGAACGATTTATTGTGCAGTCCTAGTCTTTGTTTTCTGACCTCTGTCTTCCTTTCTCTGTCTAATAGGGTGGAAATCACTTCGACCAGTATGAGGAGGGCCAGTTGGAGTTGGAACAGGCCTCCCTGGACAAGCCCATAGAATCGGTAAGGTCCCACCTATAACTCGTGCCATTGGACTCAATCGATGACTGACTGTGTGTGAGCGGATGATTGGTCCAGTCAGAGATTATAGTCACACCTCCTCTGCTGTCAGCCCCGCCCCTTTTCAGTGTCGTGATCTCGTCCAGTGTTCTCCCTCTCTCAAATTCAGTCAAACTCCCCCGCTATCATGTTTCGTGTCCCTCTAGAGCCCTTGTAGAGAACCTTCCCGCTAGCCTAACTCAACTTCTGGTGTCACCTGTACAACTGTTACCATAGTTACCATAGTCACATGATGTGGAGGAGATCTGTTGAATTGTACCAATCACTGTGATCAGTCCTCCCTCTTTTGTCTTGCTTGATCACAGATATGAGCGCTGTGTGTGCGTGAGTGAGAGAGATGAGGCGTTGTCTGTGTGTGTTGTGTGTTGTGATTCTCCAGGCTTTTCTATTTCATTTACATGCTTATTGATTTTAAACTGTGGAGTGGACGACACACTGACTGTTACAAAACAGTAGTGCCCATTTCGAAGTACATTAAAAAACACTCTTGATTGGTCAGAAGCATTGGACAAACTGAAATGTAGCTTTATTTCAAGAGTACAAGAGTATTTTCAAAACCTTGACACAGGTATTCTTTTGACATTTTGGGATCTGAGATTCATATGATGCAATATATGCACAGGCAGTTGAACCTAAATTAAACATGGTTAACCAGGTTAATTAAAAATTCCACGTTTGAGTGTGATGGCCTACTTTTAGAGGCTCATCTTAATTGAGTGCTTCAGTGCCAATAAAGTGCTTCAGTTCAAAATATCACTTTTTAAAGCTTAATTTTTAAAGAATAAAATATCAGAGTCTGTTCGTACTCAAGGTTTCAAAATCACTATTGGAAAAAGAAAAAAGTGGTAGTGTGTCATCTCTAATTACTATTACTAGAAAATATCTTACATGGTTATGTGTTGACATTTAATAGAAGATTTTGCTGTGTATTCAGTATTTCAAATTATTTCCTAACGTTACTTTGGTCTAACATAAACTCATGCCTCCAACTGGAGGAAAGTTTGAATAAATATTATAAAAAGTATTGATATTAAAGTCCCCGTCCCCCCCCCCAACACTTGATTGGATCTGTTTACTACCTCTTAATGATACTCAGATATCAAAATTAGTCTCTATTATGTTTGTTTGGTATTTGATTCAGATTATGGCAGCCCCAAGATCCAAAATAACTGCTGCTCTGCTCGTTCCACAGCAGAGCCTATTTTTCTCCTTATTCAGCAGTAGGGTGGCATTTTTTAGGCTGTGATGGTTTTGAGGAATTGGATTAGCCTAAACCAACTGCTGTGTAGGAGGCTGCCAAGAGCCTACTTGATGGCCAGAGTGTCTCTAGATCACACAGTCCTGAAGCATCTCTGTTACTCTTTCTAACACACACAGACACACAAGTTTGTGACACAAAAGCGAGCAGATTTCACTAATGTGGAAAGAGAAAATCAATTGTGTTATACCCAGTGGTTTGGGGTAGAACATGCATCGCATGAAATGCTGATTTTTTTTGACGTGGTAATGTAAACATCAATTTCAAAACATAATGATAATTTTCCAGTCCACATAGGGAAGCGGGCACAAAAACAGCCCATTTGGAGAGAAATTAAGTATATCTGCTCAGTCAGCCTATAGTCTACAGTGGCAAAGGCAGAGGTGTTAGCCACGACACTATACCAACCACTTTTAAACATTTAAATAATCTGACTCAGATAAAGCCCCAGACATGTTTCTCTTGAATAACTACATGAAAAAAAAGATAAATTATTATTTTTTACATTCGTTGATAGTACACATTGTTACTACTTACTATTCTATTTATGTTGCTTTTTGTTTTCACCTTTTCATCAACCTTAAAAGAAATACTATGAGGTAAATTGTTAAAAGTGCTTTTAAATGTGTTAAACATTTTGTTGCTGTTCCAGACAGCCAGCTAGAATGCCCTCTGTCTTTTTACTTTGGAAATAAATGCAACATCTGTGCGTTTATTTAAAGCTAACTAGCAGTCTGGAGCCGTAGGAAACGTATTTGGACTCCACTTGAAGTTAAGACAGATACTGTTGCCTTAAATCAGATATGGAGGAATTGTGTCTTCTGTATGACTATAGCTGGCAGGTGCTAGTTATATGTGTTTGTTTACTCTATCAAGATATTTTAATCATCAAATTTATTGAATATTTGTTGTAGCTTTAGAAAATGTAGCCCCTTCAATCACGTATATGTAAAACCGTTAACATAACAGAGATGAGATGAGTCTTATTTGATTTACATTCTCATGAAATGCATTTGGGTGAATTCAGTGTGTTGTCCACTTCACAAACAGTGTGCAAGGGTGGGAAACTGTGTGTTTGTGTTGTGTGAATTTGTTTGAGAGAGAACATGGAAGTTAAAGTGCTTTTGTGTGTGTGTGTGTGTGTGTGTGTGTGTGTGTGTGTGTGTGTGTGTGTGTGTGTATGCCTGTGCACCAGTGATCAGTGTTTGTTTGCGTGTGTATGTGTTCTGTTTTTGTGTTAGTGTTTGTGTAGGACAGTAATTTCAGATATTTGCAGTATTGTACACAACTTGGGGTGTTCGACATTTCTCTCCTGCAGCGAATTGGCCCCAATTAGCTAAGCAGCTCTGACCCGGTTTGTATCTGCACGCTCTGCTCTTCTACTCCTGTCTCTTTAGGGGCTCCTTGTAACGCTTCTCTCACTCTATCTCTCTATCTCTCTCACTCTCACCCTTTATATCTCTCTCTCTTTCTTGCACACACTCCTGTCTTTCTCTTACTCTGTGTCTCTTTCTCACAGACTCTCTCTCTCTTTCTATTTCGTTCTTTCTTCCTTTTTTTTCTGTCTCTCTCTTTCTCTCTCTGTCTTTCTCTCTCCAACACAGTGATTCGGTGTACAGTACCCTCTGTCATTATGTGCTGGCATGGTGCTTGTGCAACTGGGACTGCATTTTTTTCGCTGATCAGGCATGTAGATAATATCGCAGGCAGCTCTCGGTTCTCTCTCTCTCTCTCTCTCTCTGTCTCTCTCTCTGTCTCTCTCTCTTGCTCTCTTTCTGTGTGCCTAGCTTGTCCGCCCTCCGCCTCTCCATGTTGCCCTTCGATATATCAATCGGGTAAAACCTCTTTCAGGTTTAAAGACCAGTATATAATGAACAAAAATTTATTTCATTTACCATGAAAGATTACAGAAGCTAGACTTTTAGCACAAAGAGAAATCTTGCCAGTGTGCTTGGGCTACATATATACAGAGCCTTTAAGATGCTTTTTGTCAACATCAGCAGTAATGCACACATCATGAACTAACTGCGCATTAGTAATGTGGTGTGCTGCTCGCTTATTGTATGTTATCTTCCCATTCTGCTATACTGTGGCATAAGATAAAGCATATCTCAAATTAATCTAGCAAAAGACTGAATTTGACTTCATTTTCATTTTACCTAATGCCCCAATCTAGAATTGCTGAAATAATGCCGCTACCACAATATTAATTTGAATCATAGAAAATGCTCATATATGTTTTAATAAGGGGTTTTATATTCTGAACTCTTTGTTGATGCTGTGCAAAAAAAATGACGTTCACATTGCACTGATTCCTGACTGGGGCTGTTATGTAAATAGTTAACCATAAAATGTTTTGGAGCTGGATTGGTTTACTTGGGAAAGTCCTGTAATGTAAATGATGACTGAAGATTTTAATCCACTGCTAATCTACACTGTGTATGAGTTTTACCATAATAATGTTGGAGTGAATTGTCTTCTGTATTTGTCTGAACCTGGATCTCCCTCAGTGATAATAGTTCTGTTCCAATCAGTGTGTTGGTGTTGTTATTGAGTGCGTCCTGTGGCGTAAAGCTGACGTGACCATCCGGGCTATGACCTTTCGATCCACAGGCCTTTCACAGATAGCAGCGCAGATACTGCAGCCTCTAAGAATTGGCCTGTAAAGTCCCGTAGACTATATTGCAGAACCTCCTCTGGTAAAACTAATCCAGCTCTAATATTGCTTAATGAAACTGAAAGTTGAGCAGAAAATGAAAAGGCGCAAACCTTTTTCCAGCAAGATTTCTCAGGCCTTTCAAATAACAGATCTGTTATCCTAGATCTTTCCACAGTTTAGCTACATCCCCCGCATGCAGGTGCCAGACAGAGAGGACCTTGGAGAGGGCTGGAAAGTAGGAGAGGCAACTTGGCAGCTGCACGACTGAAAATATACCTGCTCCTGCGCTATTGTCTATGGAGGGGTGTGGAGAGCAGAGTGACCACACATACAGAAAGATGCTGGGGCGTTACAGCACCAGGCATGATGGCTGTCACTGCATTACAATATTATAGCCACTAATAAGGATATACGACTCCAGTTTGTATAGTGTGTGTCACTTAAAGGACCCATATCATAGAAAAATGAGGGTTTTTTTTTTAATGAGTTTGACATTTTGTAGAAGTTAAAGTTTCTAAATGTGCCATGGACCCTCTGTCCAAATATTTCATATTAGGAAACTAAGTAAATTTTTCTGTTAAAAAAAAAAAATAGCACATTTGCATATTCAGCCTATACTAGTCTAACTCCACCCATTCCTGTTCAGATTATAAGGCATGTTTCAGACAAGCCTGCTGTTTGAGTAAGACCCAATGAAGGTCAACCAATCAAAACAGAAATTATTTACATGTATCTTTCTTAGAGACACAGTAACGAAACAGTTGAGTTTTAAAGGGCCATGTCATGGAAAATTGAAACTCTTTGGCTTTCTTTCAATATAAGGAATGTGGGAATTAAGCCACAAAACAGCTTGTTTTGAATTTTTATGAACACCATTGTATTTGCATATATCGGCCTGTTCAGCATAAAGCAGTTGTACCTCTCCCGTTCATGCTACAGCTATAAGAAGTGTCTCAGCTTGGACTTTTTTTTGAATAAGGCACAATACAGGGCAGCCAATTAGAGCAGAAGTCATTTTGCTTATATCATGTCTTAAATGCACATTTAAAAAACAGCCTGTTTATTTCTGTAGAATAAACAGAGGTTGGCAAGAAGTCATATCAAAATTAATTATAAATGTTTTGGCATGTAAACCACACAAATGTCATAAGTGGACCTTAATTAAAAAATATTAAATACAAGAAAGATGTAGCATATGGGTCCTTTAAGGGGTAAATACAGGTTGAAATATGGCCTTGAATAAATGAATTTTGACGTTTTGACTTTTTTTGGCACAGAAACCCACAGAAAATGTCTTAATTGGGATAAAATACAAGAAGAGTGTGCACACATACTGGTACCGGGCAAGTGCCTTGACCCTTTGGCCCCCTGTTCTGGAACCAGAGCAAGAGCATCTGAGCTGTTTTTCCACGAAGAGTCTTTTATTCCAGTCGACGCTTAGCAAGTGGTGCTGGGACAGTGACAGCCATCCCTGAGAGAGTGTGTGAGTGAGCGAGGAAGTGTGTGTGTCCTGCTCTTGTTTCTCCGCGCCCTTCTTCTGCCACTCATTGTGTGTGATCCGTAGGCAGCTAGAGGTCTGTGGTTTTTTAAAATTGGGATCTTTTTTCTTTGTCTCTCTCTTTCTTTTTCTCTCTCATGCTTTTTGTCTCCCCTCTCCTCCTTCCCTCTTTTTATCTTGCTCTTTCTCTCTCTTTGATACTTTTTTTAGCCTTGCATGTGTTAACTTGGTAGCAGTCATTCTCTCTCTTTTTCTGTCTGACCATAACCCTCCTTCCTTTTATGTTTGTCCCTGATACACTCCACAAACCTGGGAGATGTGCACTGGGCAGCTACGAAGTTAGTGGTTCCTGTCTTGCTCACACATGCACACTTGCACGCACATGCATACGCATATACCCACGTTTGTTTATATATATGGCATACATTTATCTCTTATATATAAAGATGTATTTAATAGTGATAATCTTGTTTCTTACTTGCTCACATTTGGCCCTTATGAAAGGATTTCATTCGTTTAAAAGGCAGTTCATTTTATTGTTGCTACATGAGTGGGCGAAATAAGCTTCATCAGGACTGTAGTTGCAACATTTATCATGCTAACTATGAGTGGTTCAAAGGAAAGTTCATTGACGGTGTAAAAAAAGATCAGTGTTGTCAAAAACGTATTATATTTATTTAAGAAGAAAATAATGGTTTACAAAGTCAAGAACATTTTGTTGGTCCTGATATTGTAGATAAACCTTGTTTTCATCCAAAGTCGCATATATATATATATATATATATATATATATATATATATATATATATATATATATATATATATATATATATATATATATATATTTAAAAAACACATACGCATATAAAACAAAACAAAAACTGCTCTGAGCGTTTGACTCTCTTATGTGCAGTTGTACTGACTCTGCTCTCTTTCATTCCTTCTCTCCAGTGGTCTCCCTCTATCTCTGTTTCTCTTACACACATACACCCACACGCACGGTAGCAGGGGAGGTCAGTGCCCTCCATTTTACACTGCAGGGGAGTTTATTGATGCAGTAACTGCATGCTTGGCTCACTGTAGCTGTGTCAGGGCACAAAAGCACACATTCGTTTCAAATCCGTGCCTGTATGTACAAACGGGCCACAAGTGCAGTCATTTTTACTCAGGACAGGTGTCTCTTTGTTTTGAGGATTTTATTCTAGAAACCAATCGGAACACATTCAGCAACATTCAACATTCAGCATTGCCAGCTGCTCTCACATACACACTACGTCTTGTGGGCCAAATCAACACACACACCCCTCGTCAGTCTGTCTGAAAGATGAATCCAAGAATGTTCTGAGGGAAAGGTCATAAGTTGTCATTTTCACACATGGCCCTGACCCCTGCACACATATCCAGAATTGCTCTCTCCAGCGTGGTCATCCAGGACTTCTAGTTTAGGACTGTAAACTATGTGTAATTGAAATTGACCCACTATGTCAGTGACAGATGGATGTATTTTAGAAGCTGTGGAGAATGGTGTAGATTTGGCTTCACAGTACTTTGATGTCACCGAAGCCTGTAATGTGCAAAACTTGAACCTTTACATTCAGGTGATCTGAGAAAATTAATACTGACCTGTCTCTAAAGTTAATGTGAATCAACTTGTTTTGTTTCTCTTCTGTGATGTAGTTCAGTGTGTCCTCAAGGACTGTTTTCAGCAGCAGTGGCAGGTCCACACTTCAGCTTAATTTAATGTCTATAAATTAAGGTCCAGGCCTTATTTGTTGGCCAGGAACAGTGCAGTTTTGTCAGGCTTGAGGGTTAAAGGCTGGAGTGCCAGACTACCAGTTAGTTGTGATTGTGTTGTCATGTACACAGCACATAGGTGTTTGGTTATGTCTTATTGGTCTGACTCATCTACAGGCAACTGACAAGCTCAGTGTTATTGGGTTAAATTTCCCTGCTTAGAAGTTGTAAAGGCAGCAATGTTGAAAATGTAGGCTATAATGCAGTATTTCAAATTGCAATTTCAACATAAAACCGATTAATCTTGCAGCCCCAGTATGCAGTGGCATAAACAAAAAGATTTTTGAAGCATGTGAAGGTCACTACATTTTATTGGAAGATTACCAAAAACATAAGAAATTTGTCTTTTATATAGTATGAGGATCTGTAATTATTATGACCAACAAGGTTGAATAAAGGTCAGTTTTGATATTAGGTTGACTGTTTGTCAATGAGAGATAAATAGGCCTTACAGAACAATGTATTGCAGTCACAATATGTAGCAGTGTACTCGCAGTATGGTGTTTAGTCCAAAACATGCAGCCCTGGATTTGACTCAGCAAACATAAACATAGAGGGCAGGCTGATTGTCATTCCTCAGTGGAATATTTATAAAAATAAATCCCTGGGAAGATGAGCTTAAACTGGATAAAGCTGCATCTCTCGCTCTCTCTGGCTTTCTGTCTCTCTTTTTCTCTCCATCTTTCTGCTTATGTCCTTCTATTTGTCCCTGCCCAGGCTCCCTGCTGTGACTGTCCGTTAACAGGAAAGTGTGAGGTCTCTTTTTCTTGCACTTACCCATTCTCTCAATCTTGCTCGCACACATACGCACAGGAGGTCTGAGAGCAGCTGTCCCGTTTGGGTTCCAGTTAAAAACACACTATTAAATACCTCAGGGGTTTGGCAGTGGGAGACACCCTGCTGCCACTTCTGAGTATCACCCCACCTCCACAACAACACAGACTTACTCTGTCTAATTCATTTACAGTGCATCGTCACTGTGGCAAGAAAACCTTGTAAAGTCCGTGGTAATGTTATAAGGTTTTATTCCAGTAACTTTTGAACCATTTCTGTTGGTCCATTTGTAATTATATACAGTTAGGGCTGTAAAATACTTCAGTCTGAAGGTGGTGACTCTACTACAGCTACAGCTTTTGGTGAAAGTAAAGTTTTTAGGCTATTTTCATAAACATTATCATGTCTGTTTGAGATTGTTTCTGTATTGTCCATAATAAGTATTTCCTTTATTCACATTTGTTAATGGTGCACTGAAATGAGAATTCTTGGCTGAAACCAAAATTCGGGATGCACTCGACCGAAATCCAGTGTCGACTACAAAAAACAGTCCACAAGTAATTTCCAAGGCAATTTGTATCGAGCAGGATGTCATGTTTTCTAAGTGGTAAGTGGTATTGAACCTGTAGTATTCTTGTAAGCCCTTTTGATGCCTGACATTAACAGAGATTATAAATTGCTCGTCTAGAGTTGTGTAATCAATCCATGCGGATGGCTTTCAGGCGTTTGATGGTGTCTGTGCACTATAGAGTGAAAAGAAAAAAGTTTTTAAGCACTGTTTCTCAAGTTCGTTTCACTACAGTTAAGTCTTTACAGGGCTATTTAATTTGTTTTTTTTTCTGCCAAACATTTCTAGATAATAAGAGTAAAAAAGTGCACTTTCAGAATTTTTATGGTGGTGGAAATTTTGGTGCATCCCTCACATTTGTGTGTTCAGCAAATAATTCTGGATCATTCCAAGATTATCAAATCAAATTGTGGTGAAATTTGGGATTTCATGAAGAATTGTTCAATCAATATTGAGTTGCTGTGAGGACAAATACATACACCCCTCTCCACAGTATGCGTGACATTCCTGCTGTTAGAGAGCAGCTGTAAGACCATACGGGACCGAACACAGATTTATATTCATATATACACACAAGGCTTCAAAATCTGTTCCAGCAACTTGATAGCACACGCACACATGCTGCCATGTACATCTCTCTTTATCCCCGTAGATCCCCCTCTTTGTTTCAGTCTCCTTTAAAAACCCCTCGTCAGTCTCTTCTCTCCCATCGCCTTTGCCCCTCTCGTCTCACTGGGTTAATAGCAGCACATTGCACACCTCCCTTCCTCCTTCTCTCTCCACCAACACTCTGTCCTCTGTGGGAGTGTACCTGTTTGGACAATTTAATAACATTTTTTTTCTTTTCTATAATTATTTATATTAACAGCTACAGACTGACATTTAGTGGTTTTGTAGATGTCTGACTCTGTCACTGTTGTAATATAGTGGAAAGATTGCACTAGTTTAAAAAACAAAACAGTGAACAGTAGAGAGTTGTAGAGTCTGGCCGTTTTTCTTCCGTTTTGTGTGACGTTTGACTGTTCTTTTGACAGGCCAGGGTTTAAAAGCCAGGTTCGTATGGACATGTTTTCACTCCACTTGCACTGCTGTTGGATTCTTCGGCGTTGTTGCTTTTCATCTGTCTGTTTTTTTAGCGCATTCATTTGTTCATCTGCACAAAACCTGCCCCTCCCCCTCGTGGTCACGTCTCAAAACATCTGCCCGTCATTGCCTCTGACCAATCAGAGCCTGGGAAAACCAGCTGACTCGATACCGATAGCTCTGGTTGGCTGTTTGGAGATCTTGTGACTGAGTAAATGAGTCTGTCTCACCTCTTCTGAAGGGCTTTTTTTCTGATTGGCTCCAATGTAGGGTGGAATTATTATGCAGAGATCACTAGGTAATATGAGGTCATCTCAACCTTCTCCCCGCAGTTCCTGTCCTCCAAACATCCAGATGGATCGTGTATGTGTGTGCGTGTATTCGCACATTGCCAGTAGCAGGATCTGCTGCAGAACCACTGCATTGCAGGCCATTTGGGCAGGGCTTGCTGCAAGCACATCTGCGCTGCTGATAAATGGAAAGGATCTCAGGAAGTTTAGAGATATGTAATTTGAGATGGCCTTCAGTTTATCTCTTACTGTGTGGTACATTTCTAGCCCGTAAAGAGAGAAATTAAAATGTTTTTATGGCCTAATTACGTTAGTAAATTAGTCATTTTTTTTATGGAAATAGAAAGACCCATGGTGAAATTCAGTCCTGCCCATAGTGCAAAAGTAGGGTTGAATGATTTGTGCAAAAATCTAACTGCAATTTTCTGTCCAATATTGTGATTTAAATTTAAATGTGATTATTTTCTGTAAATTAAGCTCCAGGCTTTAAACTAGCATATAAGTTGTCATGAATGACAATTTAGTGTGCGAGACTACTAAACTCTGCTGTGACTAATGTAAGATATAATATAATTATAATTGCAGCACTTGTGATTTGAAAATTGCACTTTCAAATTGTAATTTCACTTAAAAATAGTTTAATCATTTAGACTTCATAAGTGACCAATACTGTCTCAGTGCTCAAGCCAAAAGCTCCCAAATCAAAAAACGAAAAGAGATGTAATCTTTCTTGTGTTGAAGTGAGGGCTCCCCTCCATCTGTTGTAGTGTTTCTGATTAAGTATCCTACTCTTCCTGCGTTCATTTTTATGCACCTTTACAGCAGAAAAAACCATGCAGTTAGTGCCTATTCTTTGTAACGTATTCACCAAAGTACACATAAAATTTGTTTTAAGTCACTTACTAAAAGTCAGTGTAGCTGTTACCTGTGAGTCGTGTAGGGAAGATAAAATAGCTTAAGGTTGAATACCAGCACGTCAGCCCCTCCACTTCTTAGTATAAACAGATATTTATGGAGAAAGATAAAGTTAATTCACTTCTCCCAGTTAAATCAAGTATAGTCTTTTCCCTTCTGTAAACCTTCATGCTCAAGAGATCTGATGACAAAACCTAATTTTATAAACAGTTGACCGTTTTGAATTCAGGATGAGTTTTATTTTTTGAGAAAGAACCAAAACAGAAGTTGCCTTATTGACTTCACCCCTTGTCTAGATCCCTTTAATTGCTTAAACAATTGATGTATGAGATATCTCTTTATTGTTTTTGTTCAAGTTAAGTTTTTTTCTTCAGTTTTTACATTTAATAGGCATTCAGTCAGCAACGGTAGTTCCTTGTGGTGTTACAAAACAGAACTAAAAGGTACAGAGCAGTCCCACCCTTCCCTTCCAAGTGAAAATTTCTAAATTTCCAAATTACGTTATGGGATGTGGCAGAGAAAAGACTATGGCTGCGAAAAAGGGGTGTGTTTTGTGCCGGTGACCACACCTACCTTCACCATATTGCACTAACTTTGTTCTTGCTCCGCCCCCTTGACTCTGAGACCACCACTCATGGCTCGGCCTGCTTCAGTCTAACCCCGCCCCCTCTAGCCTGCGTCCTCAAGTTTAGATGACCTTGTGCGTGCCTGTTCTCATCTCTAATCGCCATCCACGGCTCCTTGGTCCCTCCCCCTCTTCCCTGTATATGCTCAGTATACAGTCAGTACTAACACCGCCGTCTCTTTTTGTTAAAGTGGTTTAACAAAAAGCTGCATGCTGGTTAATGGTTTTGGTATTCACCTTTTTCCACATCTCTTATGATTACCTTTTGTGCCTTTTTTTTGTCTTCAGTGGAAAAAAAAAAAGTTTTTTTTTTTTCTTTTATCCTCATGTCTGTCTAATTTTTTACATCCATTTTTCCCTTTAGTGTGCTTGGAATGATTAGACACATGTTTTGAAGTGTCTTTGTGGCTTGATGTAGTTTGAAATGATAGATTGCATTTCATTTTTTTCCTTTTTTAAACATTAGAATAATCTCTTATTCCGACACACTCTCTCCCTCTTCTCTCCTCCCACGCACATACATGTGCACACACACTGGGCCTCTTAATGGTAACCCGAGGCCACTATCTCTTTCTGTCTCTCTCTTTTCATTTCTTTCTATCTTCTATCTCTGTCTCCTTCACCCTCTCGCTCTTGCTGTCTCTCTCCCTATCTCGCTCTCGTATCGGCTGCATTCTGTTTGTTTTCGTGGTGGTTCTGTTGTCATGGTGAACTCACAGAAAAGCTTGTGGAAGTTTTTATGTTGATGCAAGATCTCTACGTATGTTGTCCCTCCCCATTTTCGTTTATTTTCTCCTCGTTGTTTGTGTATTAATCTCTCTGGAGCGGTTTATATATGTATGAACATGCCATGATACGTATATAACCGTGCATTTCCCCCCCTCCTCCTTACTCTGATACTGAAGGTGAATCAGTAGACTCAGAGGTTGTTTTTCTAGAGTTTGTGTGCAGTGCTGGCTGTGCAGTGCTGCTTAAGTGTATGGTGAATGAAGAATGCTCTATTTAGTGTGTAGATTAGACTTTAGAGTGCACGCTGCGAAAATTGATTTCTTGGCAAGTGAAATTGTGTTAAGTCTAGGCAATATATCTAATATTTCTCATTTTGAGATTGTCTATCTTGAAAAACAAGCACAGTTCTATCGATACACACATTTTCAGATTATATGTAATTCCTGGTTCTGTGTCAAGATTTGATTTCAATAACAAAAAAAGCCCCAAAATCACAATCCTCAGCATCTCTAAGCAAAAAGCCAAGCCATTTGAGTGGAGGTATGTCCATATCATAAGCCCCACCCGTTCTCACGCACTTCACTCTCAGCAGATGCACCCAGATGCAGTGGTTTCTGAAAAAAAGGGCAAATGACAGACTAAGGGACGCATCAGGAAAAAGTTTGAAATTGTGATACGTTTTTTTTTTTTCATTTTTTTTTCACGAGATATTATTACATAGCTTGTATAATCTGAAAACAAATTCATAAAGAGAAAAATTGACACATGTACTATATTTAAGATGATATTTCACTTGCCAAGACATTATTTCCCGCAGTGTAGAGTGAAGACGTGAAACATTCTCACCCCTGTTTAGTTTAACAGTGACCTTTCTTGTAGTGATAGCCCTGTATAGACTGTAGGAGCCAATAGGGTTGCTTTACAGCAGAGAACCCTGTGACCTGTCCTTTATTCGTTGTTTCTATCCCTCTCTCCACTCCTCCTGCCCTCATCCTTCCCTCCTTCCCTCTCTTTTCTCTGACAAGGAGTTCTGACTTCAAAGGGTATAGCAGGTGATGATGATTATGATGATGAACAGTGAAGATTTTGTTACGGTAGCTTTGCTGCTGTGTGGGCTTGTGTCGTAAAAGCGTATGTGTGTGTGGGTGAGGGTGTGTGTGGAAAGCTCCTCTTATTATTGGAATATTTTTGGTCTTTTTTTCCTCTTTTCCCCCCATCAGGATAACATTGGTCATCGACTACTACAGAAACATGGCTGGAAGCTGGGACAAGGCCTTGGCAAAACCATGCAGGGTAAGAATCTCTCTCTATCTCACACTCACTCACACACTCTCTCTCTCTCTCTCTCTCTCTCTCTCTCTCTCTCTCTCTCTCCTTCTCTCTCTCTCTCTCTTTGTATCTCTCTCTCTCTCTCCTTCCCTCCCACCTTTCATATGTGTATCAATGCCGTCTACTCTTTTTAAGTGGTTTTGTCATTTGATACATTTTTTCCCCTCTACCTTCACGTCCTTTTATGACCTCTCCTTACTTTCTTGTGTAAGAGGCGTTTGCATCATTAGCTCATTGGTTTTCATATGTATGCACTTTGAATGGTGTAGGTTTTGTATGTATCAGTATTTTGAAAAATGGCTTCAGTTTATTCTTAAAACAAGAGCAATAACAGGATAAGCTGGAGGAAGTGGGGAGAAGGGAAAGAACAAGAGAGTGAAAGCAGTAGAGTGGGTTGAAAAACAGTTGTGTGTGTGCTAGCCCTCCTGTCCCATGATGCATTTTGACCTGGAGCAGTGTTTATCAGACCGGAGCAGAAAAATATGCTGTCTTAAGAGGACACAAACACATATTACACATGTACTGAGAGGATCAAAAGCACAAAAAGCGCGTTATCTCCGCTCGTCAGTTCTATAAACGGAGAGAGATTTTATCACATGTAAATGGAATAGAGCTCAGGTCCACCCTCGGCACTGATTCGGAATAGTCTGAAAAACAACTGGCTGTTTGCCCTCTTCTTTCTCTCAATCTCTTCTTCCCTCCTTCATTCTCTCCTTCTGTCATCCTCTCCTCTTCTCTGTTCTTCTCCTCCTTCTCCCTTCTTCTCTGCCCTCCACCCCCTGAAGATCGCTTGCCTGCAGAATGTCAAAATCACCCTTTGTTAATGCAGACTTGTTTACTGGTTGCAGGGCTTGTGTGTTCTGTTGGGAGGGGCATGAGAGAGCATTTTCCATACACACAACCCCTCCTTGTCTCTCTATGAACAAACAGCTGCATTGAAATGCAGAGAACGATTGGCCTGGCTGTCCACTCTGCTCGCCTTCAGATAGAAACCGTACAACCGTGCTTGTCATCACTGCACCACTGTGGTGATTGTATCTTGGTGGTGTTTGTCGACTGTGTTCTAAAATATATTAGTAAAGATATATATATATATATATATATATATATAATTTTGAAAAAATACATTTTTTAATGTAATGACTGGGATATGGATTGTAAGTATTTATTTATAAAGCACATTCAAAACATACAAAGAACAACAAAAAGTATATAACAGAACAAGATCTAGTACAGTCAGTTCACAGAATCAAAGGCTAAAAGATAAAAATAGGTTTTTAATCTAGACTTAAAAGTGTCAGTAGAGGGTGCAGACCTAATGTACAGAGGTAGGCTGTTCCACAGTCTCGGCGCTGCTACAGCAAAGGCCTGGCCACCTTTGAGTTTCAGCCCATGGCACAGCTGGTAACAGTTGATGTAATGACCTCAAGGACCTGGAGAGAAAATAGGGTTGGAGCAGATCTCCTATATAAGGCGGCACAGATCCATTTAGTGATTATCATTATACAACATTTCCACCTGTCACCTCTGTATCAAAGCACAGGTATGTGAAGTGAGGATTGACAGCTATATTTTCATTATTGCGAAGTATATTTTTTATTCCTTCCCTCACCAACTGCCTACCGTGTTGGGCGTGTGTTGCTGTGTAGCTGTCCAAAGTAAAAGCAAACACAGAGTTTTAGGCCAAATCTCGGGCCCTGTGACGACGTGCCTTAAATTATTTTTTATTAATTAAAAATTTGTGTTTTGAACACGTTCTTTTTTCAACCACCACAATTATTTCCTGTTCGATGTGCATTGGGGCATTGAATGTCAGCAGTGGTTTCAGTGTGTAGTTTGACAATGGGCACCAACACAGCAGCCATACTCTTTAAACCAAGATAATGTGTTTTGTTGTTTAAAGATGGCCGTAGGTTTAAATGAAATGTTTTTTTAAATTTCTGCTTCCAGTAAAGTTAAGAAATCTTTTTCTTGCTGTGACATCAGAGTTGCATTGTGCCAATCAGTTTGTGTTCGTTTCAGTGTAAGCACAGGCTAGTTATACCTTGAGTTGTGTTTGACTCATGGCTGTGAAATAATACTATAATAATAAGCTTTTTTATCTGCACTACGCTTTCAGCACCTGATCACTAGCTGATAAGGCTGCATTCAACACTCAAACCAAAATTAGTCACAGGAAAAAAAATACCGCTGCTGCGGAAAGTGACTCAATTATCCAAAATAAAATGTATGACCATACAGCCTAGTAATATCATAAAACATTTCTTTTGAATAAAGATCATGAAAATGATCAATTTCACACATGCTGTTATTTCCACTGTGGTGGTTTTCTACCAACCTAGAATAGAGGCCTTATCATCCTGATATCATAGTTAATAAGTCTTTTCTTGTGAAAGATTCATTCTCACAATCTTGAGAGGAGACATGAGTGTTCTCGTCAGTTTAAGAGAGAAATTATGAAAGCAGTACTTTTGTAATCTTTTCTAATGTGTAATCTGTCTCACATTTTACTGTAACTGGCTGAGCTGCCAGAGAATCTTTTTTGCTATCAGGATAGGAAAATATTGAATATATTCAGCTTGGTGTTTTAAAGAAGTTGATGTGACTAGTATTTAACTCGTACAGGACGGTACAAGGTTGTAGATAGCACTAGATTGGATCCTGGTTCCCTAACTCATGTTTGTGAATGCTTTTGAAAGGTGTTTATGAAATAGCAGCTCTGAACAGACACCCTGTTCTCTCTCCTCTCCAAACCATACATGGAGTCACAGAGGACATCCCAATCTTATGTGCAGATAAAAGGTCCCAGTTCCATAATAGGATGGGCAGCTAGCAGGGAACATGACTCTAGATAGTACTGAAAAGTACATACACACAACCACACCAGAATCCGTATCTTGATTCAGGTTAAGGATTAAATCAGGATATTTCATACATAATTGCACATACGTATTTCATGTCTGAGTAAACATGAACACTGTAAAGGGGAATTGCACCGATTTTTACAAGTTTCTGCGTAATTAAATCATTAAGGTGTAAAAGTCATTCAGGGTGATTTGATGCGAAATTTGCTGTTCCAGAGAAACCGAGCCAGAATTGTTCATGGTGGTGGTGATAGGGATAGGAGACGTCCGCAGCATTTAAAGCATTAAAAGCTACCTTACATAAAGTCATTACATAAAAATCGTTCAGAATATGTTGACTGATGCCTGAGACAGTGTTCTGTGATAGTTTTAAGAAGATTTTGATCTAAAACATATTATTTAGATTCATTCGAATTCATAAGAGAGAAATATGAAAGATGTTGCAAGTACATATAGAAACAGAAGATGCGTAGGCTCACTGTTTATTTTGGAAAGTAAATGAGATTTGAGCTCTGGGTCTACCAATGTAAGGAAAATTGAGCTGGTCAGTCAACAATAAAGCATTTCATATCAGATCATCCCACTGGTTCTTAATGGTTAACTCTTATTAAAAGACTGAATTCAATATGCATTTTGAAAGGTTGAGAAAACCCAATACACTTTGCCATCTGTGACCTATCAAAAAAAAATGTAAAACATTAGCAGCCCTTTACTTTGCAAGAACATTTAATGACGCAAGCACCAACAATAATTGTCCAAGTTTATTTGGAATAAAATCTTGTAACTTTAATGTGTATTAAAAGTTAATTTTGGACCATTTTGGAGATGATGTGTTATGACAGGACTGATATACAAGCATATTGCTGCTGTCGCAAGAAAACCTTGTATCTCCATTTTTATAGTTTTTTCAATTTTTGACATAATTTGAAAATACCTGTTGCCCTTTACATTCTGTGTGAATTTCATGAAGAATGGACCAGAGGAAATGGTCCAAAATGACTTAGAAAACGTCTGGTTCCATCGACTTACATTAAAAGTAAAGTAGGTTTTTCCTTCTCCTGTAGAGTTACCATTCTGGAGATACAAGGTTTTCTTCCGACAACAGCGACATATTACATTTGCTTGTGTTGCTAGTTTGTAAAAGGAGTGCAGCTATGAATGTCCCTCTCTTTCGTTCTCTTTGTTCTCTCTTGCCTGGATAATGATGTCATAGCTGGCAGACTCAGGGTCTATTCAGCAATTGATCAGAGAGTTCATGGGGTTTAGAGGACTACACACACATATACACACACACACACACACACACACACACACACACACACACACACACACACACACACCCTGTTGGCTCAGCAGGATGGATCTGAGCTCCATTAAGGCTGCCACACTCCATAGCCTGCGCTAATTGAAAACATCTGCACACTGCTGAGATGTGCAGGTATGCGGCTTCTTCAGACAACACCGTATTTGGTCATATTTATGTACATGTCGATTGAGCAGGCTAGAAGTGTTTGTGTGTGCAGGCGCAGTTGTCAGGGATTGTAGAGCAGAGAATTGATGCATGGAAGTGTAACCGCATGAACCTGGTAGTTCAGTACCAGGCCCCAAAAAAAAAACAAAACCAGGTCAGGTACCCACTGATGACCACAAAATCTATCGCTCAGTTTCAGCATGTAGAACTGGAAGCTTTCTGCATGCTGCCATGTTTTTGTCACTTCAGTAAATGCCTCCCGTTAATAAAGGGCCCATATCAATTTTTTTCACTTATTCACTTAAGACGTTTGTGTTTTTTATGTACCAAAACCAGCCGTAATTCAGCATTACATGACCATTTTCCAATTTCTCTTTATCCCTTAGAATTAAACAGACTGTTTTTGTTATAAGCCATGAAGGCCAGTGTTTGTAAATGCCCTCTAATGTTAGTGTTCTGATTGGCTGCCTGTACTGTGCCTCAGGCAAAAGCAGCCAGGCCAAACTCTCCTTATACCTGCTGTGTGAGTGGGCAAAGCTAAACTATTGTAGACTGAATAGGCAGACATATGTAAATTTGTTGGTTCCCATGACATCACACAAACAGTGAATTTCAAACGAGCTGACAGATTAGTGACCATGTATGAAACTTTAACAAAGCATAACTCTTATTTCAGAAATGTGAGGGAAATAAGTTTTCAATGATATGGACATGGAAAAAAAGTAGATAAAACGGCATAAATGGCCACTTTTGTGCGTCTGCTTTAAAAGTTTAACCACATCCAAACACATTGTGGTTGTGTGAGTTCATTTCCCCTGTATGATTCTTAAGAGGAAATGTTCTGAGTTTCTGTGCTTTTACTTTTACAGTGTCACACTTGTGTGTGTGCTGCAGCTTTGTAGCCTGTGTTTAGTATGACAAATGTGCGAGTACCGGCGTACGCACACAAAAGCGATTTTTGTTGGACAGCTGTTTTTATCCAACTGTTCCAAGTGGTGAGATCAGCATTGGGTGTAGAGCAGCAGAGCTTTGTTCAGAGAACAAGAGGTTCCCTCTGTATGTGCTGTATCTGTTTGCTTTTGCACTAGTTGTACTCATCGTCCATTTCACTCAAAACCACTCTCTGCGGAGGACATACGGTAACTGTATGATGATAAAAGGTTTTCTGACATTATTGAAACCTAGAGTATGTTACATTGGCTGTACTCCAGCGTGCTCAGTTTTGTTCCACCTAGAATGGTGCATCTGAAATCGAGTACTACATTCTACATATGTTTTTTAGTGGCGGTAGTACATACTACTCTCCTGGCTTAGCACAGCAAACATGGGCATTTTCGGATGGCCCACTGTGCCACAGCTAGTTGCCCCTAAAAGCATACATACACATCAAAAAGCAAGGATCGCTTTAATTGGATAATTGGATGAGGGATTTATTGTACAAGCAAAATGAGTCTGGTTCCATTGATTTACATTAAAAGTCAAGTAGGTTTTTAAATTCTCCTGTAAAGTTACCATTTTGGAGATACAAGGTTTTTTTCCTGACAGCAGAGATATCTAATGACATTTCTCTCAGACACGGTTAAAAATACATAGTAATTTGGTTGTTTGTTTTTTTTTCCAAATGTTAAAATTGTTAGCTTTATGTTTTTAGGGTTCTAGGCCAATCATTTTTAGGTTTTAGGGCAAAACTATGCATACATGTGGATATAATTTTATTATATAAAACCCCAGGTACTTTACAGTTACATGTTCAGAATATCCGACAGTTTTCGAAGGGGCAACAAGGCCTTAAGCGTTTTCACACCAAGAATGAGTTCTGCAGACAAATAAACATGCACATGTTAAGTTTTGAAAATGCACACATTAATATTAATGCTGTTTTCGCATCCTCTGTGCAGCGTGGCACCAGGATGAGGAAGCAGTCAAAGCCAAAGGCTGTCTTCCCAGCCAAATGAAGTGTGTGACAGATCAGGAACATTTTTAGCATAACACAACTGTTAGCTTTTTCAGTCTGTACTGAAATTCCTGTTGTTTATTATGACAATGCGATGCTTTAGATAAGGGAGGACAGGGAGGGACTTGGTAGGGTTTGGTCACAGCTGTGGGGACATATTCCAGATCAGATAAAAGGCTGGAGTCTGTAGTCAGCTTGAGAAAATAGATTAGGTACACGTCCCCAGAGAATGAGGGAAGGAATTAGACAGTCTGAGTAAGAAATTGGAAAGCTTCTGTGCACTTTAGGGACAAAATTGGTTCATAGTAGTTGAACGGCATTCAGTCAGTCTGAAGAGTTCCACTTTTTGTCCGTAAATGTCGATCCAATCCTAAGATGTGCATGTTTAGACACTGAACAGTAATATTACTGTTGGCTTGAGAGCTGGGCCAAGAACTTGTATGGTCTTTTTTGTGAGTTACATGAAATGCCACGAATGCAGTGGCTAATGCACCTTTTAAGTGCTCAGTGGTTTTGCAAATATTGGTAAACAGAAACTGTTAGATTACAGTGGCAAACCTAATGTGTGTCAGATTGACAGTACTGATACAGTGCTGCTAGCTGACGAGAAGCATTTTTGTTGTAGATGCTTCTGCAGTCGATGCCATTAAAGTTTTTGTTGTTGTCTTAGGGTCAGTTTTCCTGCTGCAGTATTAGCTAAAAGATGCTAAAGCTTCTGCCTATTAGCTCCTGTAAGTGCATTTTGAGATGTTTTACATATTGGTCTTAAAAACATGGTTGTCTTGTGCCTTATAGCTGTATGGGACTGACAGCGGCCTGCAGCCGTAAAATCGTTTTCAAGTAAGAGAGCTTTGGCAGTGTATATTGCCGATTTAAGGTGAAAAAAAGGCAGGAAGACGCTCTGTGTGCTTTTGCTGTGTATAATACTGGGTGCACCTTGACTTCAACAATGAGACTTTCAGCATACGTGTCTCACAAAAAACAAAACAAAAATCAACGTCCAGTTTATTCGATGGCTGCGGTCAGTGGCAAAAGTTGTGAAGATTGCCACACTGCTGTACGCTGACATCACTGCTCACAGTGGCAGAATTTTCTGTCGCTACTTCATTGAAAACTATAGAATATGCGGTTTGCCGGCAGCTATCTACAGTCATAATGTAAATGCAGCGTAATTGTCGTAGTCAACTGCGTGATACATAAAGATTAAGGTTAAAAACAGTGGGATAATCCCGCAATGTGGACAGGAGGTGTTATTTAGCTGCTATGAGTTGAATGTGAAACTGCATTATCGGTGTTTGAGTGAGAATTATTGTACTGCACTGAAACACTGATATGAATGTACAGGTTTGGATATAACTCTTCGAGGGAACTGTCATGTTGGGGTATTTAACCTCACCCTATAATCTCTCTCCTACACAGAGCCCTGCTTCTGTCACTTGATTGAAATGTCTCCCCAATGCTTTGAGTTTCCATTGTATTGACTGTTTTTTTTACTCTTCTTTCTTTTTGCTCTTGTTTTGTTTTTTTTAGGTAAGGTTTGTAGGAACCCCCCCCTCCCCCCTTTTGTGTGTCTGTAAATGTGTATGTGTGCGCGCGCGTGTATCTTCTTCTTTTGCAAAATGAGGATGAAATAACTCTCCCCCCCTTTTACAGTGTAGCCTAACGGCCTCTCTTAGTTCCCTCCTGTAAGCTTACAATCACTAAACTTTCTCTGCTCAGAATTACCAGCGCTACGATTCAAAACTCACTCCAGAATGAAATCAGTAAACCTGTAGCTCCATGTGTAGAAACCAATGACCGTTTCCTTGATTTTGTTCAGGATTTATCTGTGATAGAATAGCTACTTTCATGTCAGTGTATTTCTGGCTGCGATGGGGGGTTGTTTTGATTGGCTGTGAACATAAGATTGGGTTTTCTGATTGGCTTTGAACATGTCTCTGCCTCCCCCCCCCACTCCCGATAATTCTTTTGAATGGCTTGCAGAATGAGCCTGAATCTCCGCCCATTTCCACCCCTCTTCCTCCGCCTCTCAGTCGATCTGTCTGCCTGTGTCCACTTTTGTGAAGTGACCGTACACGTGGTAATGTGGGTGTGGGATTTTGCGTGTGTGTTGTGTGCGAGTGTTTGTGTGTGTATGTGTCACTGGTGAGGGAGTGGGGGCTCAGGTGTTTTGGCTTGCAGGGAAAACTCTCACATCATCCCACCTGCATCCCCCACTCCCCTCTTTTATATGATACAAATACTCAAAAGCAATGCCCTGCCCATCTCTTCTCCCCTTTCCTGCAAAGCATGCTGGTCATATAGAACTAGAACTAGTAAATCTTGAGTTTTAAGCAGTGCAGCGGTTGAGTGAAGTGACAGTCACAATCAGTGAAAACTGGATGGATAGATAGATTGATACATAAATAGATGGATAGACAGACAGAGAAATGGTTAAACACATTAGGGATGGGCATTTCTAAAGATTTTATGATCAAGTGCTTGCAGAAAATTTAAAAAAGTAATGAATTACATAAAAATGAAAAAGGGAAATTATGATTCATCCATCTAAATTTTATAGCCAACTGTGTTTTACCCTGTTTTGACAATATCCTGCCCTTCCTATCAAAGTGGGTGGTTCTTGAGTGATGCAACCTACCAGACTCTCTGTCAGTTGTTGCCTATGAACACTGCAATGCCATGGATTCAGTTATGAGATTGTTTCTGTTTGGTCAAAGTTTGAATAATTTAAGTAGTATAGTAGTAGTATAGTAGTATTACTTGCGCTGGTCTGTATGATTTAGTACTTGTTACTCTATTTAGTACTGGAAAGCTTGTTCAAAATAATAATTTGTTTAGTTGAATACATTATAAATTATTGCCAGTCATTGTGGTTAATTATGAAACATAAATATTGTTGTTATTACCTGTACAAGGCTGTTTAGGCCAGCCCTATATTTTACTGGTTGAACAAGTAGCTTCGTAATTAGTGCTCTATTAGTCGACTACTTATGCCCATCCCTAAAACAGATGTGCTTTATTGATTCCCAGAATCAAATTATATTTAAATTATATTTTGAATTGGCCCACTCTGTCTAGTGCAGGGCTGAAGGTTAAAGAGCCTCAATGCGCTGCTAAAAACTCAATCGCCATGTTATGTTTCTCACATCTCCTTCTGCTGTATAGGGATGCAGCACGCATAAACAATGACCACTGCCTCCCAATCACACTCACCCACAGACCTGGACCTGCATGGTGGATGGGGAAAGGGGGGGAAGCAGAGAGGGCAGTGGTCTGCATTTGTTTGGTCATTTTATCTAAGGATTTGCTTTGAAAATAAAAGAAAATACAAATCGGCATCAGAACAGCAGAACAGGTGTTAATGCGAGAAAGAAAAGCATGGGTTATGGAGGACTGTAGCGAACATTATATTCATACAATCACACTCGTAGTCATGTAATGAGAAAACCAAGTAATCTTAAACAACATATGTTTGGTGATTCTTATTGTACGAAGCAAGTTGTGTTAAAAAAAAAGTCCAATTTGTTGAGTTTAGAGAATCAGAATTAAAAAACCTGCTCGATTTTTTGGACATCAGGAGCATTTAGAGTTGCTCTTTCATGTTTTAAGGTGGAGAAGGATGGCAGGAAAGCAGGGGATGGTGAGAGGGATATCCCTGGAATCACCCAAAACCCAGAGTGGTAATGGGATACACCAAGGCCTTTACCTCTGAGTCCCTAAACCCCGACCCCTAACAGTTCACCCCTGACCCCCTGACCCCTCTCTGTGTGCCTCAATCTTCCTGCTTAACCAATTGGTGTTTCTTTTTTGCAGCGTTATGATCCTGGCCATGTTGTGCTGATGGTAAACTTAGTGGTAAATGTTATTTTTCCCCTGATTGAATTGGTTACTTTATTTTTATTTTGTTTATCCTTTGAATTTTTGTTTTGCTCAGTTTAATTTTTAACCCTCCCTCCCATATTGTTTTCTTTTCATTTTTATTCTCGTCATCAGAGCACCAGTATTTTAATAAGCTTCAACTGTCTCTAGTCGTCATTCTGCTGCCTGTGTATCAGTGCAATTTACATTACTCTTCTAGAGCATTTCTCATTTCGTTTGTTTTCAGTTTTTTTGGGAGATCTTGTGATTCACTTCCCCTTTTTTTCGTTTCAATGCACATTCTTCACTGGAATGCTTAATGCTAGATGAGACGTCACGATTGTTCCCAAAACACTGATTGATGGGAAGGAAATAGATTAGGTTGGGCCTGATTTGGGACTCCGACCTACTTATGTTATAAACTGATCAGATGACCTGACTATATTCAAATTCAGTGTGTTTGCCTCACAGCTCTGTTAATTAGCTGTGCTGTGAAGTGTGTGATATGCTTTTTTTGGCATGCACATCAGTACTACATTAAAATAAGTCATATTCTAACAAGGTACTTCAATGTCTGTTCAGTATTATTATCAGTTAACACCTCTACCATGCAAATGGTCCTCAGACAGGGAATCTGATTGTAGGTTTGGAGTCCTGTTAGGCCCTAATCGTCCTGCACGCTCTCCTCTATCATTTCATTACGGGAACAGTTGTACCACTGGGCTGAGGCTCTAGGCTTAGCAGCTTGGCAGCTCGGAAATTATGACGTGTCTCATTTTCTCGGGGGCTAGGAATTAATTAGACATCTCTAATGTTGTGGCAGCGCTTCAAGCATGGCTTTTCCATGTTTTTTTTTTTTCCTAGTGTTAAGAGAGGGGTTTAGTTATGTTCAAATAATAGTTAAAAAGGGTATATATTTAAGTGACAAGGTTTAAGTGTCTCTGCCCACAATCTGTCAAGTATTTCCATTACTAAGATATGTTCTGTCTGCCTAGTATTGATAGTCAAAGCCTTAAAAGGGATGTTTAAGTGTCTGGAGTGTTAAATATGTAGTTCTGTTTAATTTTGCATTGATAATTGGCTACAATACATTTTATCGCTCTAGCACTTATTAGAATATAGCCTGAATAGGTTTATTTTGGTTGAAATTCTTTGAAAATCATCCTGATTAGGGCCTGCAAAGGTTGGACTTGGTGTAAGAAAAACTAATACAATGTTAATGTCATGTAAAACATGCGCATGCAAGTTTTACATGATTTACAGTGCGTCCTGTTTTTGCTTCTGACTTTACTGCAGCATGCTTCACCTTCACTTTCACTTTTGAGCGCTACAGTTCAAAACAGGCATGACTGCTTGTTACATCAGACGTTTGCTTTTGGACAAATTCTGATGCCGTTTGGAGAGAGTATGTCATCAGCTGTAGGCATACAAGATCTGAGAAAATACTGAAGTTAGTGTTGACACCACGGTGAATTAATTCCTAGCCCTTAGTTTTGTGATACTCAGTAAGTGCACAGTCATAAAAGGGTGACGCTTTAGGGTTACAGCTGTTTGCATTGTGTTGCCTCAGCCCAAGGGCATGAACTGACCTCTTTAAATTAAAACTGCACATAAAAAACAAATGAATTTTGATGGCAAAAAAGAGGAAGAGTTAAAAAACTGAAACCAAACTACGTAACTGATTGGAGTCTCTGATTGAATGTGACCATGGTGCCAGCCTCCGCAGCAGCAGTTTAGTATGACTTCTGTTCTTTTGCCTTTCTCTTTCATTTGAGACTTGTTTGTGTGTCTGTCTATCTGACCCCTCCCCTTCCCCACTCTCTCAGGTAAGTACACCCCCTAAAAACCCTGCACTGTCACCATGGCAACGTCTGGCCCGTGACATCACTCTGCTGCTGTAGCTCAGTGCTTGTGTCCTTATTCTTTCTTTTCTCTCTATCTCTTTCTCTCTCTGCTTTGTTTGGCTGGTTATGAGTGGATTAAGCAATTATGTGTCAATTTCCGAGTAGTTTTGATTGTCTTTTTATTTCTTTCCTTTTGTTTCATTCTGGTTTTGTTCTTTTTTTCCTGAAGTTAATTATTATTTGATCTAGCTCTTTTCACAGCTTGCGTTTCCTTACATGTACATACTGACTACAGATTACTAGCTAAGCTTAGCAGTAATAGAGCAGAGAAAATTGCTGGTTAATATTTGTGAACTTTTGGTTGAAGGCTTTTAGGAATAACTTTACTGAGATTTTCAGAGATGGCTGATACCAGCTGTTCAGAATTCAGTTCTGAGACATTTATATTTGGTATTTGCATAGTGTCGCAGTGCTGTGGCAAGGTGCAGTAAATGCAGAGACTTCCTCTTCTCCCTGCCGCTCTCACACATTCCCCCCAGGCCAAATCAGGTGCTTCCTGTCCTCAGACGTAGTACAGTGCAGACTGCGGAGAGGAAAGGAGGTAGCAAGATGGATTATCCTGAACAGGGGGGACACTGTGGGGACACTGCGACAAGTTTGACAGCAAGACATCTTTTCTGCCCCCCCGATTCCCTTCAGCAGTGCTGAACTGCTCTAGAATTTCCCCTATTTGTTCATCAGATCATCAAACTGATTTATTTTAAACACAAAGAAATCATGCTTTTTTTTAAAGCAGAAACACTTTTAAACTAATAGCTTTTCAGAGCTACAATAATAGTGTGTTTTCTCTTAGTATCCAGTCTAGCAAGTCACACTGTGGTACCTGGCACAGCCATTTAATCAGAGTGCCGCACACTAAGCTGTGAGAATGGCTAGTAGCGTTTGGTTCACTGTAGCTTTCTGGTCTCTTGCACTTGAAGGCAGTCTTTCTAACCCAGCACCCTGTGCTCTAAGCAGGCTGTCCCACCCACGCTGTCTCTTGAGCCGTGTTTGGAGTTTAACCTCTGCCCTTTCTCTCTCTGCCTCTCCCCCCTCACTTCACAGGACGCACCGACCCTGTGCCCATCATCCTCAAATATGACGTTATGGGGATGGGACGCATGGAGATGGAGGTGAGGGGAAAGTGTTGTTACATTGTTTTATTATTATTATTATTATTATTATTATTGTTATTTATTTATTTATTTATTGTTTTAAGTTCTCTACCTTTGACCATTTGTCTGATGGTTGACAGCTGGACTATGCAGAAGATGCAACAGAGAAGCGTCGAGTGTTGGAAGTGGAGAAAGAAGACACAGAGGAATTGCGACAGAAGTACAAGGTGACACTCAAGTGCAGGGTTTAGCTCAACACGTAAAAAAAAAAGTCATTTTACAGAAATGTTGAGTTTATTTTGCTCTTGGCTCTTCTGTTCAATCCCTCTACCCAGTTTCTGAGCAATTTGTTTGAGGTATGAAATTGGTATTAGCTGAAATGTTAGCTTCCTGACAGAAATCAGGAAGTGCCTATAAACTATGACCATTTTAGGTTTTTCCCCATGACCCCCATACAACTATATACATGTTTACACAAAATAACTAAATTTCAGACAGGTCTGGACATGTGCTAGCAACATGTTGATACGTAAACACTGTACAGTGTTAAGGTATCTGTTTTCATAGTGTGTCTTGTTTTATTTTCTTTGCACTCCCATAGGAGTTGATTCAGAGGGCTGCAATGCGATTATAAAACGATTATCGATGCATCTCGATGCATCTTTTTTCTCTATACAGGATTTCTATCTTCCTACTGTCTGAGGACTTGGTAGTTTTAAAGCAAAGTATTTGTAATGATCCATAATGTAAATGCATTACGGATCATTACAAATACTTTGCTTTAAATATCTAAAAATCTTTTTAATAAATCAAATGGAGGTGATGTGGCAAGTGAACTAGAAGGCTCTCATTCAGAGACGCTGCTGCCACTCATCTGCGATAAAATGCGCTGTTGCCCTGAAATAAGATCCAGTGGTAATGGGTGTCCACGCAGCGCGTTACAGCTATCCTTCCCGTTTTCTTTGGTGGTTTTATAACTTCGGTTTTGGTCTTGTTGTAGAGAGGGGGGGGGGCCTATTTTCAAGACTGGACGCTGAATCTCGGCTCCAAAGTGTGCAGCATAGCGCGAAAGCCCTGGTTCTCAACGACTGAGAGCAGACAGCAGGTCACATAGCACCGAGGTCTGGCCTCGCCAGTAGCGAACGAAAAAACAGAGATTAAGAACATTTGGAGGACTTGTTCGCATTTATAAGCAGCGCGGTTGGTTAAATCTGCAACGAGAGTTAAAAAAAAGTTGCGAAAATGAACTCGCTTATCTTTTGAATTTTCCCGTTCCACCTTAAATGGTGCAGCAGTTACATTCGGCGCCTAAGGCAGAATTTAAGGTGAAACGGGAAAATTAGAACGAGAAGCTGGCGAATGAGAGGCGACTTCAGCCTCGTAAAACAGCCGGATCGATTTGTGAATCGATTCAGAATCGTTCACGTCCGCATCGCGATGCATCTAAGAATCGAGTTTTTCCCACACCCCTACACTCCCATGTTTTCTCTTCTGACTACATAGCATTCATATCTCAGGGTACCTCATATCAGTATTTTCGGGTTTGCAGGATTATGCTGAGAAGGAGAAAGCCATCGCCAAGGCTTTGGAAGACCTGAGAGCTAATTTCTATTGTGAGCTGTGTGATAAGCAGTATCAGAAACACCAGGAGTTTGACAATCACATCAACTCCTATGATCATGCACATAAACAGGTGAGGGAGATCATGACAGACATCACTGCCTGAATGACATTTACTGACATTTTGTGTTGTTCGTTGCCATATATTTGTGTATTGATGGTAATAACAGTAAATCTCTCCTTTTGTTTTTCTTCTCTCTTTCTTTTATTTAACAGCTGTAATCACTAATACCAGATAATAGTCATCTTTTCCCTCTTGTTAAATGTGTTTTGCTCACTCCCACAGAGGCTGAAAGAGCTGAAGCAGAGGGAATTTGCACGAAATGTGTCTTCACGTTCCCGTAAGGATGGGAAGAAGCAGGAGAAAATGCTGCGGCGTCTACATGAGCTAGCTGAGCAGAGGAAACAGCAAGACTGGTGAGTAAAATGTCCACTACTGTCCCCTCATGGCAGTACAACAGTATTACATGACTTGCTTCTTGCGGTAAAAGTGCTAATGTTGCCAACAATGAATGAAAGCAAACAGACGTCAATAATGCTGATACAACGTTGATTGAATTATAGAAATGATAGACATTACATAAATTATGCCATGCCTGTTGATGGCTAATAGCTTGTTAACAAAATTACCTTTTTCACATTTTTATGCCAAGAAGCATTGTATGCGAAACCTTTTTGTTCTTTCATCTTTTTCTCCAGCGTTTCTGGTAGTGGGCCTATGTTCAAGCAGACAACAGTGGCAGTCGATGGAGATAAGGGTGATGACGGTGGCTTCTCAAATGTAGATGGTGTTCCTATGACCACAGACTGTACCACAGAGGGATCATCAGGGGAGGATAAGGGAAACTCTGGCTTTTGTGGTCAGAGCTCACCGAGACCTGGCCCAGCCATAAGTTTCTCCCTTCGTAAGAACACATCCTCTCCAACACCGAGTGGAGGGACCCAGGCTGCTAAAGTCAGTGTTTCCTTCTCTTTCGCCAAGAAAGCACCAGTAAAACTGGAGACAGCTGCTGCTGTGTTTGCAGACCAAGGAGAAGAAGCAATGGAAGAAGAAGAAGGACAGGAAGAAGGAGCAGAGAAAGCTGCAGGGGAGGAAGGAGGTACAGCATCCTGCACTGATAGTCCACAAGCTACAGCAGGAGGCACAGGTGGAGGAGAAGAAGAACAGCCACAGGGTGATGATGGAGGAACACTGGCCTCCACCCTTAACAAACTAAAGATGATGATGAAAAAGGAGGAAGGTTACTCTGGACAAGAGCCACAGTATTATCACTATGTTCCTCCTGCACACTGTCGGGTCAAGCCCCATTTCCAGTTCCTACTCTTCATGAAGGCCTCAGACCAGTGTGGCAGCCGAGAGGAGGACGAAGAGGCGGAAGAAGAGAAAACATCATCAACAGAAGGAGATGCGGGACAAAAACAGGCTAAAGACAACGTCTCCAAAACAGAGAAGGACGCAGGGAAAGAAGCAGAGAAAGAGGCTACAAAGAGGCAGTGTACAGATCCTATTTCATCTCCCAAAGTAAAGACTGAAGAAGGATCAGATAGCACCCCAGCAGTAGAGGGGAGTGTGGATCCTTCAACTACTACTTCCCAAACAACAGAAGCTAAACAAGGGGCATCTGAACCTCAAGACACTGGACCCCGCATACCAACGGGGCCCTTCTTTCCTGTTTTAAGTAAAGATGAAAGCACTACTTTACAGTGGCCCTCTGAGCTCTTAGAGTTTACCAAGGCCCAGCCTTCCCTCTCCTACAGTTGTAACCCTCTTTACTTTGACTTTAAGCTGTCCCGGAACAAAGGCAACCGAGGAGGTAAAGCCAACAAACCTGCCAAGCCAGCTAACGCTAGTGGAGATAACGGAGAGGGATCCAAGACCGAAGGCACCATCAGCACTGCTGGCACAAGTGGAGAGACTAGCCAAGCAGTAACACCACCCAATACCAGCACTGACAAAAAAGAAGAATCCTTAAAAGAAAAGATTGCAGAGGGTGACAACAAAGACAAGAACAAAGACAAGTTGGAGAGCACTGAAGATGGAGCTGGGGGCTCCAAGAAAAAGAAAAAGAAGAAGAAACACAAGAAGTCAAGCAAGCGTTCCAAGCGCAAAGAAAAAGAGAAAACAGCTGCAGAGGGAGAGATGGAGACAGAGACACAAGGAGAAAAGACCAAAAAGAAAAAGAAACACAAACGAAAGAAAAGCAAAAATAAACCACATGCTGAGGAAGACGAAGATGAAAAGGCACAAGAAGGTAAAGAACAGAAAGGCAAAGACAAAGATGACAAGGGTGGGGTCAGTTCCTCTGCACAGACTACAGGAGGAGGAGGAGGTGGGAGTTCGGCTTCAGAGGGAGCAAAGAGAAAACGACCCCATAAAGAAGTGTCTCAAAAATCAGGGACTGAGGAGGGCAGTGCAGGCAAGTCCAACTCTTCAGAAGAGCACAATGGTACGAAACGTCTCAAAGCTGACCCTAGTGCTGCGTCCTGTTCTGCTTCTGCTCAGAAAAGTCCAGGGGGAGGTCGACCTCCCAGCAGCGAGAGTGAAGAAGATGGTGGCTCTTCATCTCAGCGCTCCCGCCCTCCTCATCGGCGGTCTACACCTTCACGTGAACAGAGGCGTCACCGCAGCGAGGACTCGGGACGGTCAGGTCGCTCACGTAGCCGTTCATCTCGCCGAGGAGACCGCAATCATAGACGCAACAGAGGTCAGACGTCTCGTAGTCAGTCATATACAAGCAGCTCAGAGCGTTCCTCAGCAGGCAGTAGTGCGTACAGTTGGCACAGCCACAGCTACTCTGACAGCTACAGTGACTACAGTGATGGAGAACGTCACCGCAGGTCAAAAAGGCGCTCTTCGGACTCAGAGTATGAAAGAAGAAGTGGTGGACGGTCACACAGGAGACACTACTCATCCTCTTCTTCGGAAGAAGACTCTCGATCACGTTCGCGCTCTCACAGCCGGAGGAAGCACCACCGGCGGAGGCGCCATCGCAGTAGTAGCCGCAGTTCAAGTCGCAGCAGCCGGAGCAGCAGTGCTCGCTCATACAGACGCAGCAGCTACAGTCGCAGTCGCAGCTCTGCCAGTCGCTCATCCAGCTCCCCGCACCGCCGCAGCCGTAGCCGACGGGCAGACAGCTCCACGCACCGACGTGACTTTAACCGCTCCATCATATATCGCTCACAGTCTCCAAGGTCCTCGTCGTCCCGGTCGCAGGCACGGAACAGCAGTTCCTCAACACAAGCAACCAAAGGAAGCGGGGGAGGTGGAGGATTGAGGGAAGGTGGAGGTGCTTCAGAGCATCGGAACTCATTTACAGCCCGCCAGCTTCTTGAAAAAGTCCAGTCTCGCAAGGGTGGTGAAGACGGTGGAACTGTAAGTAAACCGGGCATCAAAATCAAGGACCCTCCGCAGGGCTACTTTGGGCCCAAGCTTCCCCCAGCTCTTGGAAACAAGGGCATATTACCCCTTTTTGGTAAGCTCCAGGCAGGGAAGAAACCTTCTTTACTTCCCTTAATGCGGACAGACGATGGGGAAAAGTCAGGGCAGGGAAAGGGTTCTGATTCCAGTGGTGAGGTAATCCTGGTGGAGCCCATTCGTGAGTTTCCTCCACCACCCCCACCACCTCCTCCACCACCCCAGCAGCAGCAGCAACAGCAGCAGCAACAGCAGCAGCAACAACAACAGACGGAGGAACCCATCTCAAATGCAGTCTCAGATGAGACCAGAAACCAAATCTCAGAACCTCAAGTGCTCCATGAGCAAAGGCCAGTATTTGAGCAAGATCCGGGTAACATTATGCCTGCTTATCAAGGTGAGCCAGGACAGGACCCCAACAACCAAATCATGGACGGACGTCTAATGGGACCTGACATGGGCCAGCAAGCACCCATGCATGCTTATCCAGGCTATCCTATGTCCAATATGGAAGAGGAGAACATGGGAATGGAGGCTGAAGAGGATGGCTTGGCACCATTGGAGAGCCAACCAATCACTTTTACCCCAGAGGAGATGGAGAAATACAGCAAGCTACAACAAGCAGCACAGCAGCACATCCAGCAACAGCTTCTGGCAAAGCAGGTGAAGACCTTTCCCTCAGCTGCTGCAGCTGCAGCCGCAGCCAACTTGGCAGCTGCTGCCAATCTCGCCCCTGCACCTCCTCCTCCGCCTGCTGCTCTGCAACCAATTCATATCCAGCAGCCCACTGTGTCGGCAGCATCAGCCACTTCCATTACCACAGTGCAGCATGCCATCCTGCAGCACCATGCAGCCGCCACAGCAATGGGCATCCACCCTCACACCCCACATCATCCTCATCCTGCTCATGCTCAGCTAGCCCAGGTACATATACCCCAACACCACCTGACCCCCATATCCTTATCTCCTCTGGGCCACACATTAGGTCACTCTTTGGGTCACTCTTTGGGACACACTGGCCTGATCCCAGCCCACCCTTCTGCCTTTCTCTCTGGGCAGCCTATACATATAATACCAGCTTCTGCGCTCCACCATGCCCCATTAGCTCTGCACCATGTCCCTCACGCAGCCCTTTACCCCACTCTCTTCGCTCCTCGGCCAGCAACAGCAGCTGCTGCAGCTGCCTTGCAGCTCCATCCCCTACTTCACCCCATCTTCTCAGGCCAGGACCTTCAGCATCCCCCAAGCCATGGCTCTTGAGATACTTTGCAAAAAGAATGAAGTCCCTGCAGTCTAAAAGGAGGGTGAGGGGTAGATTTTTTTTTTTTTCTGGATGACATACTCCAGACTACCAGTCAACCTCTCTTTCCTTTTACTGTGTTAAAGAGAGAACATCAGTCCAATTGACAAAGTGGAAAACCTCCTTAGACTGAAAAAAATCTGGAAATTCACTATTATTTGTGTGTTTGGTAAAAGCAGAGAAGCTGCATGAAGAACGCTTTTGAACCCAGGCAGTTTCCTGAGGGATGTGAGCAAGAGATTTAGCTCACAAGTGAGATCTTCACATTTGTTAAGAATTTTTGTTGTTTCCTATGGTGATTGTTGCTGATCTCATTTTTCCCGTGCAGCCAAAGAGACTCAATGGCTGAAGCCATAGGCTGGGGGTGTGATCAGTGCTATGGTCCTATAGTATGCAGAGAGGGTGATTCCTTGGAAACTCACTTTGTGTAAGGGTGTTGGGATGTCCGTGTCAAGATAAACTATTGTAAATTGCAGAAATTGTGTGTCCTTTTATGAAGAGCTGGTCATGGAAATAAAATGATTACTTGGCTGCAGCCATAATAAAATGTTACCTGGGCAATTCCAGTGCAGGCCAGTGATCAAGAGTTATCTCAAAATACTTTATCCTCTGAGTAACAAAAACAGGAACATTTAAATAATGTGGAATGGATTGAAGCCATATTTGTCATACTAAATGCATTGTTTTCAATGGTTTGTCGTAAATCAGTAATATGAAGTAAAAACTAAAGCGCTTCACAAAATGTTGACGTCACAGAAAGTTACACTGTTTTGGGGTACCCCCACCTTGTCAAGGACTTGACTTGCACTGAAAAAATTGTACATCAGGATGCTGCTTTTGCATCATGTAAGGACTGTATGATTGTAGTATTCTGCAATAATTTTATTTTCTGTTTGATTTTAAATTATTTTCCAGTATTTTTTTTTTTTTGCTGAGTTTTCCCCCTTGTATAATTAGTCTTTTGTAAATAGTCATCATAGACAAAAGCGTATTGTAAAATAATACACCTTTGTAACTGTTAAAAAAAATTACTACACAAAAAGGACACAGTGAAATAACAAACACAGAGCAGACAAATGGATTAATAAATAATTTGGTCAGGGTTGGTACTACAGAGGGCTATCCTGCTGTAACTGGGGTGGTCCGGGGATGGGGTCTGTACTGACAGGGGATTTACAAGTGTTGTTAAGTCACCTTTGGAAACAGATCAGACTGTAAATGGCAGCAGTGGTATTTAGTTTTTTTTATTCTTTATCGATGCGTCAGAAAATAAAGCGTTTTGAGATGTAAATGACTATTTAAGCGTGCTTTCTGTGCTGTTGCATGCATTTGTTTACTGTTCTTCCTTTCTTTGCTCTTCCTGTGCTTTGATTTGCATAGTCATTTGCCATCAGAGAATGACTTGGTCACGGACCATATCCTGTAAATTCAGTTGTTTGTCGTTAGACATATAGACAGGCATGCTGTACATCAAAAACTTCAGTCTGAAGATGCAAGGATGATAATCACTATGCGCCACACAACAAGAAGTAAGCAGTAAACGGTAATATGCCCAATGCAGGAGAGTGCAGGTAAAGAAAGACGACACATAATACATGCAAACTCAAAGGTAAGTGTATATATATAAAAAAATAGACCAAAACATAGATACAAAATACTGAAGTGACTGGTAGCACAGTTTGAATACACCATATGATTCTTCTTGTAGGGTTAATTATGCCTGTATACAAAGTCAAATTCTGTATATTTACATAGATTATATAGATGTTAAGTACGCACAGATGATTGGGGCAGAGGTACCATGAGTATGTGTAGATGGCTTGACAGACCCTGATTCTCATGCAATCTTACATTTTCATTCATTTAAGGGACAGTAGGCTGTTAGGGGTGTGCACTGTGGTTTTCCTTCTTTATAGACAGATGAGACTCCACTGATGAATTTGGGTTTTAATCACCTGCTGTACGTTGCGGTCAGTGATAGTGACTTTTCTTTTCCAGGTGATGATACAGCAGCCTGTCAGTATGCTCTCCAGTGTAACTCCATGATGGTACAGATCGTCAGCCGTTTAAAGCTGCTGTGACTTTTTTTTTTTCCGAACAGTTCTAGATGCGTTTATTGAGCATTACTTTTAGGATATACAATAGTAGAGTTTGTTCAAAATCAAGATCACAGGTGTAGAACTCGCTGTATGAAAATGCAAAATAAAGCAATGTGTTGCTGTGCTGCTTTGTTGAGGTGGGAGTTGCTGAATGTTTACAAGACGTCCTGAATAATCACACTTTCTGCTGCAGTCCTATTGATTACAGGTACATATCCCTCGTCTTACAAGTCTGCTCAGGTCAATAGTCATCTTCGTTTTGCTGATGTGCACCATGCCACGCTCTGAGGAGTTTAAGCTCATCTCTAGAGGCTGTTCTATCATTTCTGGTAAAATAGCTTCAAGCTAGTCTGCAAACTTAATGTCTTAAGGTCTCCAGACCCTGAATCCAGTTTCTGGTCCTGGACTTTGTGATCACTGGTGATTTTGTCATTTCAACAATTTACTTTTTTTTTTTTTCTTTTTAGTTTCTGTGTAAATACAGTTAGGCTTTGTGTATATTTATATTATTATACTTTGGGTATATTTTTATCTGATCATATGTCGGTACTTTTTCCACACACATCATGGCTTCTAAATCAATTTCAAGATGTGTATACATTAATATTTGTAATGGAAAAACAATTTGTGGGGTTATTTACTCATTTTTAATAAATTAAACCAGTTTAGATGCTATGGGAGTTAAAATTATTACAGCATGTGACAACTGAACTGTAGTCTGCAATGCGTTGTCAGAGCAAATAATTACACTGCTGTGGGACATTTTCACAGCATTCACAGATATTTTTGTCAGTATAATTATTTTAATACTTTTAATATTTGGCTGTGTGCATCACAGATGGCAGTTCCATTATTGCACATTGTTGCTACATAGAAACAAAATTAATGTAACCCCTGCCACCAAAAAAAAACAAAAAAAACCTTTTTTTTGTGCAATAACCAAAATAAAAGCATCACTGAGTTGTTGATGTAACTGATTGATACCTACTGTCACACCTACTAGTGATTACAAAACAGGGCTGGAAACTGGAAGGTCTTGAGTTGAAGGCCTCTAAGGCAATGGGCTGAGATCAAGGCCCTACTGGGTTGCGATGTTCAACATGGTATTGAATGGCTAACACTGAGGAAATCCACATTTCAGCTGCAGACTGTGCTGTCAGCGCCAAGCAGAAAGGCTCAAAACTTGAACTGTTTTCCAAGACTAATGCTTTCTCTTAGCTTTTGCTTACAAAAGGGCCCTCTCCATATTCAAAAGGCAATGCCACTTTCAAACACCAGGTGGCACTGGTGGAGCTTTTGATGGCGGATGCTCTACTTTTTTTTTCCCCTCTTTCAACAGTGATCACTGACCTTTAGTGTTGATGGCTTGACAGGCCCTGATTCTTATGTACTGTCCTCCATTTTTAATCGGGGAGGGGGGCAAAAAAAAAAAATAAAATAACAGTAGGCTGTTATGGGTGTGCGCTGTGCAGAGACTTTGCAGATGGAGTTTTTCTCAACACCTTTTACACATGGGGTAAAGCTCCACTGCTGAAGTTTGAGTTTTCATCACCTGCTGTATGTTGTGGTCAGGGGTGGTGACATTTCTGTCCCAGGTCATAATGCACCAGATTGTCAGTGAGCTCTCCAGTGTGCCTCCATGTGAAGTGTTGAGGATCCTGATAAGGTCAACCATCTTCTACTGAGGCTGCATAAAATACCTAGTGGGAGAAAAATGTATTGTGTTCAGGCCTGTAATATTCAGTCAGTTTGCGGAAACACACACTTCTTCTTCACAATTAACAACAGTTGACCAGGTGAAAGAGTTTTATTGTTGGGCTCGAACTTACCTCCCTACTGTGAGTTGAAGTGCTCTATTCATAGGGTTGGGCCCTCCTGAGGCCTACATGCCCCAAGGGTCACTTACGTGCTTCTAAAGACTATGCTGAACAATAATGCACTATAACTGCACTGTTACAGACTTAATTCACAAATCTTGAAAGACGGCACATTACCATTTTTCTAAATTATAAGCATGGAGTGCAGTGATGATCAAACTACTGAAACAAGTTATTTTGAAAATAAGCCCAAGTCCACATCAATAGCTCATTCAGAGCAATGCATACGAATAGTTCCTCTTATGGTAGTACAGTAAAACCAAAATGTTATGTGATTATAACAACATTGCTTTTTAAAACCCACTTAAGCAGTTTTCATGAAGATTCTCATTCACCAGTGTTTTCTTGTTTGTGATTTGTTCTTAAGAACAGAATCTATGCAAACTCAAAAGCACAAAGATTTTAGAACCTCTCTCACAAACAAAGTCAAGAAAAATGATAAGATATTGGTGAATGAGGCCAGATGCTATTTAAACAAACTGTGTCAAACATACTTTCAATATGATCTTAAATCTTTGACCTTATATTTAAGTCAAGATGACTGGACTATAATCGTAAAGACGTTACACTGCTCATCCGAGGGACTTTGTCAGCTCAAATGTTAGATCATTCCCTGGCATTTCTACCTTTGCGGTTGTTTACAAATGTGATGTCATGATGCCTGTTAAGGTCACTGACCTGACTGACTATAATCCTTCAGAGAGACATTGGCAAAAAAAAGCTAATTTACTTCCCCTTAGTTTGGTGTCTGAAGTTTGTTTTGTTGCACTGGAGCTACAAGGGTAACACAACTAACACATAATGGAAAACATACTTCTTTAAATTGCTGATGCACTGATTTTCTGACATCTCAGGCATGGCAAAGAGGTCAGAACTGCATTCCTCAAAGCTTTTTCACTCCCTCAAACTCCACAAGGACTGCAGACATGACAAATATCAAAGGATTTCACTTTGATTTTGGAAACTTGTGTATGCCTGGGGCAAAGGAGATACGGTGGACCTCCTGGCGGGGGTTTCATGCGGATTCTATCCCAACATGTACCGTCCCAGCGTCAAGATGAGGACGCAGCTGTCCAATAACATCTCTCATTTCCTGTTTGCCAAGAACCTCGACCCCTGCCTTAGACCGAAACACAGTTTCAAATAACTAAAATATGAGTCTATGTTTGTGTTAAGGCTGTTTTTTAGGCAGTTTTTCAGAACCTGTTTTATTGTCGTTTTATTAAGGCACAGTTGGACGATGAGTACGCCTAAATGAACATATAGGCGATTCAGTTCATGAGACTTTACTGTTAGTATGGTTATTGTGGGTACAGATTGCATGAACTTTGAATCTTTACAGTTCTATGAGGGTTAAAAACCAAAGCCAGTGTTGACTAATGGAAGTGGGTGCAAATAGGGTCTGGTCCACCTCATACAACCGTATTTTAAATTATTTTAATACTATTTTGCTTGCATCTTTGAAGAAAAGAAGAGACATTGCAGATGCACAAGAATAACAAAAAAAAATAAAAAAATCACAATCTTATGGAATTGAGAGGGTTCAGTCTTTTGAGAATTACCTGCAAAATCCATTTTCAAAGATATTTTAGAGATGTAAGAAAGATGTCCGGACCATACCGGAGTTTCTATGTTTGAACAGCGTCCATTTTCCTGGTGCTTTGAGGACGTGATGGAGTCTTCTGGGCTCCATCCAACGTCAAACACCTGCTTTAACTTTTAAACTTATAAACATCTAAAGTTTTTTTAATTCACAAAAAAATAGGCTCATTGAGTCAAATCAGATGTCGACAAATAGGATGAGAATCTGGAAACCAGAAGGCAATCGCAACCTCAATCCTCAATCCAATCCTCAATCCAGGATTAAGATCACTGCCTCCTGGTATGGTCCTCTCATGGCAGTCAAGGAGGGTCAGCTCAGACTGAGAAAGTTCAGCTCAGGTATTTGACCACCAAGAACATGATGACGCAGGTGATGAGCATGCCGGTTATCATGATGAACTTATCCTGTGTCGCTCTCTTCTCGATTAGACGCATCACTGTGTTGGACAGCCCCAACATGTTCGCCACATCCAGCATCTTCTTATGGGTACCCTGCCACACAAAGAGGGAGACGTAGCTTAGTGAAGGTTATGTTTGAGAAAAAAGAACCTGGCCTGGATGGACAGGAATAACTGATAACTGCAATAACTTTACACTGAAGAGCTGAATTAATAACCCCTACAAGTGTCATTTTAGTCTGTGGACTTATTTGAGTCAACAGGTGATGGATTTGCGGCTTGATTTAGCAGTGAGTGGTGAAAATGCCCACTACCAGCGATATAACCAGCATACAGGCCCAGATATATGCTGCCTGTAAAAAGTTTGGGGGGCACCTCACCTTTTTTGAACTTGTCTGAGTAATGTTTGATTTTCATTGGTACCTTTTAATAACTGTGTAATAAACTGCTACAAAAAACTGTCTTTGCTAATTGACTAATATTTTCACAATAATAGTGCTTTGGCGATATTTCCAAGCTAAGGCGTTCCACAGTTGTTCTTCCAGTTTTCATTTTTTACAGAGGAAAAAGGCAAGATTTAAATAGCTTACAATTCAGTTTGCTGTTTTAAAGGCAAGGCAGGTTTATTTCATACACTGCTGTCCTTTAAAGTGCTTTACAAATGAGAAAATAAAGAGCTGTTTAAAATGAAAGTTAAGGAGAACAGAAAAACATGATTAAAACAGATTAAAACAATAGATTTAAAAGAGAAAATTATTAAAGTAAAAATCCAATTAGAAATTAAATTAGGATATAACTGCTGTTACAGAGAAGAAGGGATAGAAATGCTAACAGTGCTTTTAAACTGAGCTGAAAGCTGCTCAAAAGAAGAAAACACGACTATGAAAGCATGTACAGCTTGCAAGAATAATCTGAATATTCGGGTACTCGTTTATTATGTTGGTGATCATTTCTCTATTTAGTTTTCTGAAGCTTCTGTTTTTTTTAAGCCACAAAAACCGTAGCCTGAACTAGAACAGATTTCATGATCAAAGGCCTATAACTAGAACAGTGACTGATAATACAGAGATTTTTTTAATAGAGCTAGTTCAATGTCATTTCAGCTCATTTCCCCCTTCACTGCTGCACACTAAGAAACATCCTTCAAATTATGTTTAATTCTGAAATAAATATCAAAGTTTTAAAGGATGGTTTTGTGAATGAGTATTCGGGTACACATTCAGAAATATGAATGCCAGCCCTGAAAGCATGGCTTATTTATTAAAGAACATTTTGAAATGACTGATATTTTATATCTACATTTAAACTAATTAACAACATATACATCAGTGTTCCTGAAGGTTCAAGTTTTTCAAACACGTACTACAAAAGCACTCTCAATGACAGCACACACAAAGTGATAGCGACAGAAGCATCAAAGCAGAGCTTCAAAAGGAGTTCGCACACTCCTCCCTGGAAACAGAGGATCACTGTCTCACCACTGTATGTGGTGAAACTACCTCATGCACAGGATTTGAACACGTACAGTTCTGCTTCCTCTTCATACCTCACTGACCACCAGGAGTGTTCTTAGGTGAGGACAACTATGTCTGTGTCTTCAACTTTTATAATATCAAACCTTCCTACTAAACCTGGACACTAATTAAAATTACTAAAATTACTGGACAGTAATTTTAGGCAAATGATTATTGTCCACAGTATTATTGCCATAAACAATATTATTGTGATGCAAAATCAGTTATGCATTACTACACATGATCAATACAGAACCTTTATCTTGCATTGTCTCTGATGCTTAACTTAATTTCCAAATAATCACCAACTAGGCTGGCTTCTATTATTACTGAATCATTTATAATGTTAACTATATTCTGCACAGCCTGCATCTAACACTGTACATCTATCGGTTCCCTGCATTTGTGTTAATCAAAATACTGCCCATTGTATTGACGCCCTTCTTCTAGACACACTCCTCCATCTAACTCTCAACCAGAGAGCAGCTCTCAGTATCTCAGTTTTATTTGCACATTCACTAGAATTCTTTGCCGGACTGAAAATCTATGTTATGATCTTTCCAAGTGGCTTTCAAATTGTAAGTTGTGGCTTTTCAAAGTGTAGTTAATGGTAGTTAAAGTGTAGTTGGTGATGTTCTGTTTGTACAGCCTATAATCATTTCTACTGTATGCATTTTAGAACTGACCACAGATTAGAACCATTGTTCAAAAGAATTGGTTAAAGCTGCACTAGGTAACATTTTGTGACCTCTCTGGTGGAAATAAGTAATTGCAGGCAACATGTGGAAAAACATTTTGTAACGTGGGTTGTTCTTTGGACCCCCTCCCTGAGCAGATGAATCTGATGATTGCAAGCATGTGTTCAAAGAGCACATACGAGTGAGTCATATACTACTGTATAATTGTATAGTGTGCTGGACCTGCTTTTTGAGCCTGTGCATGTGACATTAATACGTAAAGACGTTTGTTGTGGTCCTAAAAACTCTATTTCTTTCGGTTTTTACAAAACAATTTTCTGTAGAGCTGCTTTAAATAATGGTAAAGCAGCAGAATTGGCACTTAAATATCAATATCAGCCCGAGACTACTTCCTACTTTAACAAGTTACGCATGCAAATATGTTTGTAAATGCATCAGTCATGAATACATCTTAAAGTGCCCATATCCTACATTTTTCTTGTAATGTATTTTTTGTTAGAGGTACATTTATGATGTTTGTGTGGTTTTAAATACCAAAAACAGTCACAATTCATTTTCTCAAGACCATTTTTCAGTCTCTCTTTATTCCTTTGAATGAGGCTGTTTTTATTACTGTGCCTTCAAAAAGGACTTATTATGCTTTTCTGTTTTTCCCTTTACATCAGTGTGTTATGTAGCTTTTTGTAAAAGTAAACGGTCTGCAAAGTTAAAGAACCCAAAGTACATGGCAGGGAGTAACTCTGTTCCACAGAAACCAGCTTAGCTGCCTGAAATGCCTTGTTGGAATTCCAGCCTTATTCCTTTGTTACAGTGTGACACAATCTCGCAACACAATCCTTAGTGCCCGCCTACCAGCAAGCTTGGCACACCCTCACACAACACAGAGCAACTACTGGAGGTTGGGAAGAGTTTATGCAGTTTTGTAACCATATTGAGAAAACGCTGTGTTCTGCATTGTGAGGTTAAATCTAATTTGTGTGCTGTGGAAAATGTAGAACAACAAAGAAGTCAGTGGATGAAATCTGTGTTGAAATCCAGTAACGGAAATCTAAGAGATCAGAGTATGCTGTTCTCTTTCAACATTTGTTTGGTATCTCACTATGGGAAACGCCACAATCAAACTGCAAATGCTGTGCAGAGGACTAACTACTGTGAAACTAACATGCACGTTACGTAGTTATGAGAGTGAATAACTGAAGTGTGGTTTTATGCTTGTTGCACACACGCATGCAAAAGAAATTCACCTTGAGTGTGCCCCTCTGGTCACGGAGGCCGTTGAGGATGCTGGAGCCAGAACCAAGCAGATCATCCATTCCTCTGTGAGCGCTCTGCAGGCTGGAGTTGAACTGAAGCGTGTCATCTATGGGGATAGAAGTGTCTGCGTCCTACACACAATGAGGAAAGAGTCAACAAAAAAAGGACACTGTTTTTAAAATTTAGACAGTCCACCTATATGATAAGTAGACCTAATAAAATAAACAATGCAGAAACAAGTGTCTAATGTAGTGGCCAGTGAGTGTATGTGATGTTTATTTTAACTCACTAACCCTGCAGATAACTGAGCGGTGATGTATTGTGTTGTTGTGGGACAGGTAGTCTTGGATGTTCTCGAGATGCTAATGCTCTTCCTTGATACAGCGTGTTAGAACATTATGAGCGTACATAAAGTATGTATACGCAAGTATATAAATCACTTAAAACCACAAGTGTGATCTTTGGGATGGGGATAAAATCTGCTCCACTAGCAAGTTCTTTCGTCTTTTATGGTGCAATAAAGTGGTAGACACCATATCGCCCCCTACACTTCCTCTAATGTACTGCAATCATATGATCGTTATAGAGAATTACAGAACACTCTTTTTGTGTGTGATAACTAACCAACTTTGTCAACTACTTGTTGCAGCCCTTGTGTGTATGTGTGTGTGTGTACTGACGTTGGTGGTAAAACTGCGGCTCATCAGCTCTTCCCTCTCCCTCTCCTGAGCCTCGCGAGCATAGCGTCTGTGCTGGAAGTTCCTCAAGGCTGTCTGTAGATGCTGCACGTCATACTTCAGCTGGTCTACTCGCCTGCGGGCAGATGGAGAACAAAACAGTGTGACTTCCTGTGTGACATCTCAGCCAGCTACAAACCTTGCAAAAGATAACTGAAAGCATTCATTTACGGCTCAATTATAGGTTTGTGTTTGAGTTGAGAAGCTCACATTTGTCAAACAATTACACAAAGTTTCTTCACAGACTTCGGTGTATAAAAGTGTTGCACTGAATATCTGGGCTGACAAACGTAACTGATAATTAATGCCTTTTTGTTGCTGGTCCTAATATTAACCTAATATTCACTGAAGTGCACACTATAATGCAGATGTGTCCAAACCTTCTGTCTTGGGGGGCCAATGTGCAATGTTTGCGGTGGATCGAGGGCCATCTACAAATAAAGATGCTACGTAGGTTTCGGATCAAGTAATTTTATACCACTACATTACAGTTTGTTTTTTAAATTATTAAAAAATGCAATTTTAAAATAAAAAATATGAACGTATCAAGTATTCAGAATAAAGCAAAAATGTTTTGTTCTCTCATTGGGTGAGGGGGACGGGGTTAGAGAAACTTTCTAGAGGGCCAAATCAAATATCGTCAAGGCTAACTTTGGGCAGTCCTGCTGTTCTCTTAGGAAACTGTAAAAAAAGGTTCACACCTCTCAAGATGTCTTTGTTTTGCTTGTGTTTGTCTATACATGAACTGACTTTCATTATGCAGCATCAGAGCTTGACTATACAGGCATCTGTGTGCATATGATCACAAATGAACCAGCAAATTATTGGCTGTAATTACTGTCTGCAATTCCAACACCAGACCAAAAGCGATAGCATTTACTGGGCTTCTGAGTGGTATGACCATCTAAGTATTGATTTGATCCTTCTCAATGCCACAGCCAGCCAATGGACAAGTAGCTTTAAGAAGTTTGGTCTGGTCTGGTCAGATTTCAGAAGCTAAGCGGGGATCAGCCTGGTCAGGGACTGGACGAGAGACCCACTGGGATTCCCAGGCACTATGCGCTTTCCAGCTACACTTTTTACTTTGAAATTCATCTTTGAATACGTCCTAAAGTTTCTTGGGCAAAAATTGTTTGAACTGAACCAAGAATCTCAGTCCTCTGATGTGTCTCAGTGGTATGCAGCATCCTGTGAGAGCATGTGAGTAGTTTCAGGTGTGTGTCTGTACATTTGTGCGACATCTCAGGTGCGTTAGCCTCAGGTCTGTTTTTATAGTGTCGCACTCTGGCTTTGGCAAACGGGTAATGATGTGACCTCATTCGGAAAGTTTCCAAATGGTCGAGGTGCCACAGGGAGCCTACATCAAATGAGCTCAACAGGTGCCACCACACACCTACATTAAATGAGCTCAACAATAATTAAATCATTACAGCCCATCATCTATACAAATAAAGAGCCACTGTGATTACACGCTGCACGATAGCAGGATCTATGCCACAGTCAGTCTGCCACAGTCTGCATCCCTGAAATTCCAAACAAAGCACGTGTGGAAACAGTGATCTGCACCTTAAACTGGAATGCACTTAGTATAGGCTAAATATTTGTGGGTTTTGTGGGCGAAATGTTTAGGTATGAGCTTTTTACTACAGTCATGAAGTGCACACTTCAGGTACATTAAAAGGGAATTCCAATCAGAGTAGTCTTACTGATGTGAAATGGTTAACTGTAGAGAAACCTAGTGACTCAGAGTTCTTTACAGTGGTGGTGATGTCACTGTCTACAGCGCAAATATAGCCAATTACTTTTACTATTGTTGACAATGGTAAAATGATAAACCTGAAGAAAAACTTTCTACTAAATTCCTCACGATGTCCTGCATGTAACTCTAAGTCGGGAATGGATTAAAAATGACATTTTCAGCCAAAAGCTGATTACGCCAGGTATCATATTCATAACTATTTCATGTAATAACTTTCTGTGAGGGAGCTTTAAACGTCTGGTTTATGCTGACAATCCTGACTTGGTTATTTTCTCTAGAATAGATCATTTTACAACAAACCTGAATTACTTTGTTTATATCTTTCCAATTTAATTAGGGCAAAACTTTGAAAAAACAAAAGAATTACCCTTTATGAAGGAACCTAAAATCTGAATGGGCTTAATACAATCAGCACTGATCATTAAATATGCCTTAATCTGATGTCGATTGTTCAGATGGGATCAAGACATCGCGAGTAACTAACAGTTCTAAACGGATCATAGGATGCTATGAGTGTGGCTGCTTCAGTGGAACTCACAGTTTGGCGTTTTGACGTCGACTGGGCGGCTCCTTGCTGGCCAGGATCTCAAGCCGTTCCAGGTGAGTAAAGATCTGTTCAATTCTGGCCTGCAATTCATTTTCTAGCACTGTGAAAAATGCACAAAAAAACACTACAATGGTCAAAAAAAAATCCACACATTCCATTATATTATTACTACAATACAATGTGCATAAAATGTATACAATACTCACAAAAACAGACGCTGGAAACAATCAGGGTTATAAAAACACATCAGTTTATCATTAATGTGGCTTTTTAACTGCATTAAAAATTAAAATTCTAAAATTCTAATAATATTCATTAATGTATGCACCCATTTCAGGGCCAAAATAAAATGAATAGGCTACTTTTGGATAACATTACAAAAAAGCTGGAGTATTGTTTTGTTTTTTTTTAAATGCAAAGTACCTTGTGAACCTGTGGCTGCTTGCATAAAACATTAAGTTTTTACATCAAGTTAAATGTCTAAAGATGAATTTAAAGCTATAAGCAGTCAAAAACTGATGTGCTGAAACTCGTGTCACATTTTTTTTTTCCAATTTCCTTGAAGACATTTTCTGCAGTTCAGTTAAGGCCAAAATTCACTTAAGATGCTTATACAAGTGATCACTGGCTTCTAACTAACTGACTATCAAACTGAGAACCTGACTAACTCACTCATGTTTAGCAGGCTAATATTCTCCACAAGGGGCGCTCAAGCAGGTTTTGACGTCATAAGCTTGGTGCTTCACATCAGTGAACGCTGTGGCCTCCAGGCAACAAACTGTACCAAAATAATCAAATGGTACTGAGCCTTAGTCTTGAGATCTTGTGATGCACTGAATATTTTCTTAAATAATTATTATCGAATGTAATCAAATCGTCAGAGATTTACACCCCTAGCTGAGAAAGGTGAATTTGCGCAGGCAGTGAGGCAGAGCAGACAGCTCCACCCTTTCTGGGTGTCCGTGGCTGATTGTAGATCAGGATATGAGCTGTTTCCTGGGAGAGGACCTGAAGCTGGTGGGAAACATTATCAGAACTTTATAGAAGCACGCGCACACACACACACACACACACACACACACACACACACACACACACACACACACACACACAGCTTGTCCAGTTCCCCACCCACCACAATGTTCTTCACACACACACACACACACAATGCATCCTCTCAGTCTCTGACATCACATAACGTCATCAGCATAGACTGGCGACTGCCGGGCTGAGACCATTATCTGTCCGAACGTAGCCATTACTACATCCCCCCGCCAAAACACAGACGCATACGCAGTACTGACCAAAAATGAGAGACCAAAAGTTGTCTATTTCATTTCCAGTCAAAACAGCCTTTAAGTACAAGTCATTCACTTTTCAGCCTCAGGAAAAAGACAGAAAACATTTTTAACAGATAAAGACACAGAAACCTCAACAACAAAATATAATATCAAAATTTTCAGTACTTAGTGGATCCACTCTTTACCTTTATTACTGCTTCTGTTATTTTCAGGAGACTTGCTTTCAGTTTTTCAAAGAAACCTGCAGGGATATTTTTACACACAAAGTTCAGTCTTAAAAGTTGGTTGCATTTTGTAACGATCAAATCAGAACCCAGGACCTTCTTGCTGTGAGGCAACAGAGCTACTCACTGCCGCGAAAGTGGAACTTAATTTCACTCAAAGATGAAAGCTTTTAGTGCTATTTAACTGGTGACAGTTCTGGTGGTCTAGCAGGTCTTGCACAGTTGTTAGGAGTCCCATTATGTATGATCCTTTATTCATTCACTTCAGTTTTGGAATTTTTTTTTACATATCTTCCTTTTTTCTTTTCCCTTCCTTATGCATGTTGATTATTATATATCATATCTCCAATAATATCACGATACTTTAACAGGTTTTCAAGATTCACTGTCATATTTTTTCCTAATATTTGATTTGTTGGAAAAGTAGCATCACATTTAAAAACTACCATCAAAAACTATGAATACAACGATTTGAATGAATTTCACATAGTGCGCCACACTAAATCCAGTTAAACAGAGATAATTATGCTCTTTTTGTAGTCAAACATGCATTTGGAAAATGCTGCCAAGTACTGATGACATCCATAATATCAGAAATGCATATTGTAACATACTGTCATGTAATTTTTCACAATAACAATAAGTGTTGCCATATTGTCCGTCCCTAATATCACATCAGAAATATCTTCTTTAATTATTTTAGATGCATATTCGCAATGCATTTAAGGTAGGTTTGGGCAGCTGCTTCTGTGAATTTTAGTATCTGTTTGAAGAAGAACATGATGTCAGTGACTCCCAGCTTTAGTTGGAAGGACACAGCTGTAAATGATTGGTTTTAAGACTGGAAGGACGAAAGAGTTAAAGTGGGAGTAAGTGCAGAAAAATAAAGAGTGGACAAATTAATTACTGATATATGTAATTAATATTTAGTGTTGGATGCTTCTGTGTAATTTCCTTTTAAATATATGTATTCTACTTTTTTCCCTGAGGCTAAAAAAATGAATAACTTAATGCTTAATGGCCATTTAACTGGAAACCAGTTAGATGAAAGAGTAACTATTACACCCTACTGTATATCACTTCCAACTCAGTTTACCACGTATCCTCTTCCTATCCTTTCTTTGCTCACTCCCATCAAAACATTCACTCTCTCTCCTCTCCATCTGGCCTCTCCCTGCCCTTCCTTCCAGGGCACCAAGCTGGCCCAACACAATCAGCTCCACCTTCACACATACATACACATTCAGATAGCACAGTTACAAATTTTCCCACAAAAGAACCTTGGCACAGAATCCAGAGCCCATCCATGATGAACTTAATCAAGTAATAGAGCCGCAACTAACGATTATTTCTATTGTTGATTAATCTGTTGACTAATTGACTCATCAAACCATCCGCCTTCTGAGGATTCTTCTCATTTCATCATCTTCATCATTCAAAGTTCTGTGCGACAAGTGTTTAAACTTTCACAGTAAAACAAAATAACATGGGTCTTATCACCCCTAAGCTTCCCCAAGTATCTTGCAATGGGTAAGAATGATGCCATTAAAGAACTGTAAGTATTTAATTAGATTTTTTTCCATAATCAATGTGTACAAGGACTGATCGGCTTTCTGATGTGCAACAGGACTCATTGATGAGGCTCTGCAAGACGTTCTGACTACACAACAGTCCTCCAACCTTTAAAAGGCATGTTCCACACTCTGTCATCAGTGGTATTATCCTGATAAGCTGGTTCTCACAGGTTTCTAATATAGCAATGAGCCATCTGAGCGATCCAAACATTACAGTAATTTTGCCACAGTTAGGTGCTCTGCTGCAAATCTTATCAAAACAATGAAAAAATACAGTAAACAATGTGATAAATGATTCAAAGTACCACTATGTAAGTGTTTTTACTGTTAAAACTGAAAAAAAGTAGCGTTAGTAAGTCTGCAGGAAAAACAAGCTAAAATACTTTCGGTACGTGCTGCTGCACGTCACCCTGTAAAACCTGAAATAATAATTTAATGATGTGAAAGTCAGGTCGGATTTAGTGGGAGCTTTTTGGACACACATCTTTATGTATTAATGTCAGACACACAGGCTCAAAAAGATGGTCTGGATCAATGTTTAGGTCTCAAATGCAAAATCAACACTATACTGATGAAGATATGATGATAGTCATCATAGTCTTCACAGAAACTTACATGCTCAGAAGACACGCCTTTTGGACTAAGATCTCTCTGACTAATATTTCAAAACGTGTGCACATCCAGGAGTTTACAATCTGGCTCAGCCCACTATCTAAAATCAGTTTCATAATTCAGTGATGAGAATTTCTATGTAGAGAATAGAAGTTGTAGAGTCACAGTGATCAGATAGATGGGAGGGGAAAACTTACAATGCACTGACTGTCGGTCCGTTGTCTCCAGTCGTCCCATTTGGGACTGGACCTCATGGATTTGTCTGGCAATGAGAGACATACACAGTTAAAACTGGGCATTGTCTACACTGGTTTTCACTCTTGATTTTGACTGGTGTGAAACAGTTTGTATAGAGACATTTAGGCCATTTTCATGCTTGAGCTTTTTTACGGACCCAGATCTGTTTGCCCTGAGAGTTCAGTACATTTCTCTGATTTTGAAAATTGTTTTTGAGGCCAGGAACGGTCCAAAGCATTAATTCCTGAGCCTCCTAAAAATGGTAGTTTGAGATTTGTTTAAAGTGAACCCTAAAGCGGTCCACAGTATATGTGAAAGCTATCCACTGATTCAAGTACTTGCACCTAAACAAAGCCGTGACATTGAGCTCCTCCCCTAAAATAAGCCCAGAATTGGTCCTGGGCAGGGCCAAACCACTTGGCGAAAGTATCAGATTTTTCTGACCAATATTGTGATTGTGATTTATTTGTTTTTAATTCAGTTGAACTTCAACTGTCCCTCAAAGGTAACTGGTGAAGAATAAGACTCTCTTCCTTTGTAATTTCGATACAAAAGCTTTCTGTCTCAGTCGTGGGTGCGGACTCAACTATTGAAGACAAGTGTGAAAACGCCTGTAGTTAAGATCAAGATGAGGCACAGAGAATTAGAAATACAGTTCTTCACAATCACAGCTTTGTCAGTCATAACATATCACAGAAACCTGTTGGCATTCCTGCAAGATCAGTTACCCAAACACTTTCAGTTTTACTTTGTGACACTGCAGTGACAAAAAAGGAACCAGTTCATATAAACAGTGTTATTAAAGTATCTTTGGTGCTGGATCTCTACTCTATTCTACTAACTTAACACAAGCTACTATTACTGTCTGCATTAATAGCACAGACAGAGTGTTGATGTTAACAGTATTATGTGAGTGTTAAATATTTATTGTTAGTGTTAATAATGTTAATGGTACAATATTAGTGTATTATTGTCATTATACTAGGGATGCACAATTGGAATCGGCCAAGATCAGAATTGGTAAGCATGAAATCCTTTCTGTGTGGAGTTTGCATGTTCTCCCCGTGTCTGTGTGGGTTTCCTCCAGGTACGCTGGTTTCCTCCCACAGTCCAAAGACATGCAGTCAGGCTGATTGGACATGCTAAATTGTCCCTAGGTGTGAGTGTGTGTGTGTGTGAATGTATATGTCTCTGTGTCTGCCTTATGATGGACTAGTGACCTATCCAAGGTGTTTCCTGCTTCTGCCCAATGACTGCTGGGACTCCAGCCCCCCCCCCAACCCAGAAGGATTAGCAGCTTAGAAAATGTGTTTGTGTGTGTTGTAAGTTTCTGACGTAAATAAAGTGAGGCGGGTCAGTGTACTCTCACTGCGTTTGAATGCTGCTGCTACACCTGTACCAAAAAGTCATGGTATAATTATACATGACTCATTGTGCTAAACTGCCACTTACCTCTTAGTTTCGATGCAGAACTTCATTGGAATCATGTTTCTTTAAATGCACAACTGATTTTAAATTGAAAGAAAATAAAAAGTTCTGCCCATTAAAGAACAAATAATGTTATTTGTCTTATCAAGTTATCTAATAAAGAGAACTGGAAATGTAGTGTGTTCATGTAAAAAAAACAGCCACCAGCCAATCTGACTGTAAAGAAAATGGAATCGTCCATAAAACGTCATGATCAGTGCATCACTAGTTAGCACTACAACAACAGTGTTGATACTATGTGTTATTTTTTTACATGTTAATAGTATTACATTAATGTGTTACTATTAATACCATAAATTATGATGCATGTTATTGTTAATGGCATAACACTGTATTATTGTAAACTTGTGTTTATAATAATTGACAACAGTACAATACTAATGCATTACAGTAAATTGCTAATGTGTTATTGTTAATAGTATCATGTTAATGTGTTACTATTAACAGCACAATGTTAGTGTATTATTGCTGTATATAAGTTTTATTGTTAATAGTAAAATGTTAATGTCACTGATATGAGTATAGTGTTAATGTTTTACTGTTAACAGTACAATCTTGAATTATTGTTAACAGGACCATGTTAATGTACTGTTGTTAACAGTATAGTGTTAGTGTGTTACTGTTAAGTCAGTGTATGTTAGTGTAATGTTACTCTTTATAGTGTTAGTGTGTTACTGTTAAGTCAGTGTATGTTACAGTGTAATGCTACTCTACATAGTGTTAGTGTGTTACTGTTAAGTCAGTGTATGTTACAGTGTAATGCTACTCTTTATAGTGTTAGTGTGTTACTGTTAAGTCAGTGTATGTTAGTGTAATGTTACTCTTTATAGTGTTAGTGTGTTACTGTTAAGTCAGTGTATGTTACAGTGTAATGCTACTCTACATAGTGTTAGTGTGTTACTGTTAAGTCAGTGTATGTTAGTGTAATGCTACTCTTCATAGTGTTAGTGTGTTACTGTTAAGTCAGTGTATGTTAGTGTAATGCTACTCTTTATAGTGTTAGTGTGTTACTGTTAAGTCAGTGTATGTTAGTGTAATGCTACTCTTCATAGTGTTAGTGTGTTAAAGTGAAACTCTTCTCTTCTCTTTAAAGCTGTTGTTATTCAGGTTGTGACATTTCAGAGAACACATTTTTACACATAAAATACATCGCAACTACAGCTTTAAACGATAATACGAGCTGTTTTAGCGCATTAGACACTTTATAAACCTTCTGAATTCCCCACCTCCGCTAAAGCTAAAGCTAAGCGCTCAGCGTTTCCGGACCGCAGAGAGACTCACTTATTAGTCTGATGATAAAGCGTCTCCATCCTCTGTGGTGATTTAAAACGCCGCCAGACTGAGAGGAAAAGTCGGGAAGCAGCACTTTATCCTCAGACCGACCGACACGCAGCGCTTTCGCTCCAGCCACTCATCAAAACACAGCCTCCACATCAGCTCCTCGGACAGCCAACACGTCACCACAGGAAGGACCCTTGTGGGCAAAAGGCGCTCCTGCGTCTGCCTGACTAAAACAGAAGCGCGTTAAAAAGGAGTTCCGCCTGTTTTTAAAATTTCCTGCAGAATTAATTTGTTAAGATGGAAGCAAAGCTGTTCACAGTGGTTTGATGTGAAATATACCGTTCTAGAGAAACCTGGAAAATCAGAATTGTCCACCGTGGTGATGATAGGGACCTGACGTCCGAAGCGTTTAAAGGTGCAGTGTATAGGGTTTAGTGGCATCTAGCGGTGAGGTCGCAGATTTCAAGCAAGTCAAGTCAAGTCAGCTTTATTGTCAATACTATAATATGTACAGTACATACAGAGTATTGAAATTGCGTTACTCTATTACCCCATGTTGTAGCAATAACATTAAATAGAAAGAAAACAGGAAAAGCGTGTATTTAAATAGACATTAAAAAACACTAAACACTAATCGTAAAATAAACACTCATTGTAGAAAAATAGAGAGTTCAGCATCTTGACAGCCTGGTGGATGAAGCTGTCCCCCAGTCTGCTGGTCCTGGCCCGGAGACTCCGCAGTCTCCTCCCTGATGGCAGCAGGCTGAAGAAGCTGTGTAGTGGGTGAGAGGGCTCACCTGCCATGCAGAGAGCCTTTTGGGTGAGACAGGAGCTGTATATCTCTTGGAGGGAAGGGAGGGAGGTGCCAACCATCTTCTCAGCTGCTCTCACGATGCGCTGGAGTGTCTTGCAGCAGGACAACAGAATACTCCTCCCTTTCACCCTCCCATTCCAAGCGTGCGGTGGAATCTGCGGTGGAAAGCAGGTTTTCTGCCGTCCCGATTAAGTTTTGCTTTTGGGTCATTCTCCATTTGAAACGGAGAGACCGTGTCACAAAGGTTGCAGGGTTTGAAAAGGTGCCTAAAATATTAGGAACATATGGTGGCGCAACACAGCCATCATCATCATCATCATCATCATCATGTATAAAAACTCAGACACATGTAGGTTTGCTGATCGTTTCAGAAACACATAATGAAAAGAACTGCATGAGCATGTGTTTTTTATATGTGAGATACATTTAAAATATTTAGTTTCATTGCAAACTGTATTTCAAACACTAACATTTTTGGACATTTTATACATTTTCAAATGTATTTTATAAAAACACTTAACATATATTACTTTTTTGGTATAGGTAGTAAATAAAATGGTAATATTCGTGTTGTAGACAACCCCTGGTTACTATCACCACCACTGCAAAGACACCTTAGTCTTGGTCTAGACTGGGGGTCGGCAACATGCGGCTCTTTTACTGCCCTGTTGCGGCTGCACAGCAGAATTAGATTAGGTAAAAATGAAAAAAATCCTGCTTTGCAGTAAAATAAAGCTCTGCTGATCGTTCTAACACAGTTTTAACAATAAATGGTCTTAAACACTGGAGTTAATGTAGGCTATGTGTGCTAATTCACCAACCTTTAACTGAAGAATTAACTGAAGATTAGCGCACAGACTGCTGGTCACCATAGGAACACAGACAACAATCTCGCCTAGCAAGTAGCTAACGAAACGGCAAAGAGAAAAGTTTAAGTCGAACCTCGATAATTTGGAGATAAATGGATAAATGCATTTGTACCAGCTGGTTGTCGCGAAGCTGATGTCAGCTTCTCATTCATCAGCTTCTTGTTCGAATTTTCCCATTCCACCTTAAATGGTGCAGCAGTTACATTCTGGCGCCTCAAGCACCTTTTAAGGTGGAACAGGAAAATTCAAACGAGAAGCTGGCGAATGAGAAGCTGACCTCTGCCTCGCAAAAAGTCAACTGTTGAAAGACATTTTTCAAGAAACTATTCTGCTTTTGTGGAAAAGTTTCCTGCTGGAGATGCGAGAAAAGCAGCTATAGCTGAGTTTATAAGCTTAAAGCAAGGGAAAATAAACCTGGATTTTCATTTAGATCGTTTAGATTTACATATTTACAGCCAGGATGGCAAAATGGACATAAAATGTTGTGGCTCTCAAGGTGGTTTGATTTAAGTTGAAAGGACAAAATGGCTCTTCTTAACATTTGGGTTGCCAACCCCTGATCAAAACAATGAAGTTTCTCCACACGCTGTATTTCACATATAACCACTCCAGGAAAAAAGTGTCTACATTTATCTTGTAGACATGGCGACCCCAGGTTTCTATAACCACCACTGTAAAGAAAGCTGAGCTGGTAGGTTTCTCTGCAGTGCACCACTTCACTTTATAACACTCTGACACTCTCTGACTAATTCCTTGACTTGCTTTTAATTTACTTGCTTTAATGTGTTTTAAAAATATATATTCTGCCTTGAAACAGCAAGAACATATGAACAAGCTACTGCTGCCTAATAATAATAATATTACTAGTACTACTACTACTAATAGTAAATTGATCAATAAACAATGTAATAAGAATGAGTTGCTTAAAACCTGCCTAAACTTGATCTGATTAACGCACTATTATGTATTGTTTTGTTAGGGTGGGAAATGACCTTTATAGACATGAATCAACCCTGAATGGCAAAATTCCATTTGGCTCATTTGGTGCAACATTACCGCCAAATAGACTCTGAACTGTGTAATTCCCCCCTCACACGTCTGACAGCTGTATTGATGGACACCTCATTTCCCTGTAAGCTGAATCACCCACCAATTGTGCTATTTTATAAAATCAAATGCTGTTTTCCTCTAAGGATGAAACTGGCACCTGGAATCTGGAGTTTTGACTCGCCATCATGGGAGCGTCACTGACAGGAAAGAATAATGACCAAGCTTCTTGGGGCTAGATTTTGTCAACTCCCACACTAGTCCTGTCTTTGTCTAATTACGCTGGTTTCCGCAGTTCTGTATCGGAGGACAGCACAGTGGAGCCTCCCATGCCTGGAGTTACAGACTTGAGTGGTGATATCAAACGTTCCAAAGGATAAGGAGAGAGAGAGAGAGAGAGAGAGAGAGAGAGAGAGAGAGAGAGAGAGAGAGACTCTAAGTGACAGTGTTTGTTGACTTGTTCATCCCAGTTTTGACGTGACTGAGCAGATGAAAGAGACACTGATTTCCCGATATTAAGTTGTGGTTGGGATTTTTTGCCCTGTGGTGGTGAAAAATCAACAATGCCTTCTCATGAGATGTGTGATGGGTGAGAGAGAGATATAGCCTTCAGCACTATACAGAAAATACCACACTGACTTATGGAATTAACGCCAGAGTGCTATTTTTAAATTTGCCATCATGTTGTCTTGCACAGCCCTGATCTCCTGCTATTATGTTTCATAGTAGTAACACACAGTTCCATGGTATTATCTCAAGAAAATACTTGAATGCAAGAATGTCTGTATGTCATTAGGTGTTTTCAGTGTTAATAGTAATAATAATGATGATAATAATAATAATAATAATAATAATAATAGTAATAATAATAGCTATGTAGTACAAAAACAAGGGATTTGAAACAATATTACATATAAGTACTTCGTTATTACATATAAATCCTTACATGTATAGTAGGACATACAGTACATACTTTTATTTCAAGTAGGTACTTATACAACGATAACATATGTTGCCTTTTACAGTGTGTGAAAATTATGGCCTGATGATTTGGTCCAAAATTAATAAGTATAATAACTTTAAGTTAAAATAAAATATTTTTACATGATAATCCATTCTTTTTTCCTTCTTTCCTTTTCCTGAAAACTTGCTTTTTGTGACGTAATGTTTTGCTCCGACAACATATTGTTATACCTCTAGATACTTAAATGTTTATAATATTTTATGGTATATTTTTACAACACCAGCTTCCCTTCACAATTTTACAATGTGTGTAAAATTGACTATATATATACATATATATATATATATATATATATATATATATATATATATATATATATACATACACAAAACATATGGGATATACTTATATGTATATACTACAAATGAAACATTAATATTACAGGTATGTACTAACATATATAATAATATTTCTGACAGATACTTAAATGGATGTAATACATAAAGAGGTATATAAATAAAGTACATATTAAACTAATGTGTAACCCCACGTCCTGACTTCGTATAAAAACAAACCTGTGTGTGTGTGTGTGTGTGTGTGTGTGTGTGTGTGTGTGTGTGTGTGTGATGTTTCTCAGAGTCTCTCTGTAACAGTTCAGACAGGCAGCAGAGTGGAAGTTTTTGTAAATGATAGTTGCTGCTTGATTCTTGTCTCTCCAGGCTACTCTTCTCTAACAGTCCCCCCTTCTCAACCCCTGCTCACACTGCCGCCCCCTCAGCCCCCCAACACTCGCTCCATTCATGCTGCTTCATGCTCTCTCTCACTCTCTCCATCTCTCTTTCTCCTTCTCTCTCTCTCTGTCATAACAATACCTAAGGGCATAAGGGATATTTTGAGACAGAGAGGCGAGAGCACTTGCATTATGAAAAAAATGAATTGGTACACAAGTGAAAAAATTAAAAACAGAAAGTCAATCAGAGATGATTATCTAACCAGCAAATAAAAAAGTGACCTTAGGTCAGATATATAGTATTAAACTGGACAGAGTGGATATAGAAAAGGTGCTTAAGCTTGACTGATGTGTCTTACGTTGGCGCCGTTTTTTCTCTGTCTGAGGTTACATGGGTCGACCTTACTTTTCCTCCAGCGACAAGACATCATTCAGTCTTCTCCTATCACACACACACACACCTGAGTACCAGAGGCAGGAGGTGTTGTCCAGGTGTGTGTATAATGACCCTGTTGACCCTGAATACCTTCAAAAATATGAATAACAAAGCATTAAAGTACAACACAGGTAAAGTACTGAGTCCATCACTGTCTGTGGCTGGTAGGGCTGGCATGGCCTAAAGCACCAATATGAAAATTTAGCAGACAGGGGGTAGAAGTACCGCAGTTAGTGTGGTTGGCCTTAAACTTGTATAATAATTAGTTGCAAAATGTCCTGTGGTAAACAAAAACATTCCAAAACAGGCACATTTCACTGGGTATTT